GGTGTCTTTTTCTTTTTTAATCAGAAGTAGTTTTTTTGCTTCGGCACATGTACATAGATTCTTCATGTAAATTCTCACCCACTGCAAAAGATCCAACCTCCTTACTTCTGAATTACTTCAACTTCTGCGCAACAGCATCCATGCATCCCTTGAACATCTCGTCCAAAATGCCCGCCAAGACGGGCTTGAAGCTCGGGTCCGTCCAGTCTGAAGCCCCGGTCCAACTGAATTCCGTCTTGTCCCCTTCAATCCCATTAAGCCGTAACGTTCCTCTTGGGTTCGTTGTGTTCGGAACGCCGTCTAGGATGAGGTAGCGGATGGTATGTGTTTCGGGGTCCGCCACCTCCAGACGCTCATGGACGACGGTGCCGTTGTCGAATGTAAGAGTGCGGACGGCTCCAATACCGAACCCGTCCAGGCTTGACTTGACTACGCCGGGGAACCAGAGTCTCTCCGACCCGAACGCGGAAATAATTGCCCACACTTCCGAGACAGGAGCGTCGATGACTCGGACAACCTCGTGCGTCTTTTCCTTGTCCATGATGTCGGAAAGTACGGGAACGATGAGCAGTGTTTAATTGGCAGGTTCTGAGAAAGTAAGGGCGATCAAGTAGTTGTGGTTGGTAGGAGATTAGGGAACATCGATGTTTGCCGGGAGTTAAATATCACCTGCTGGTAAACATTATTCAGCGTTGTCCGAACGCCGGTGGGATGCCGTAGTGGGATCCGACAATAGTGACGTCCGCGGGTTGCGGTCAAGAAGGCCCGTTCTCTGTGCAATTCCAGGTCGATAACAAAGCTGCACGTCTAAACCAATCCGCGAGCCTGATAGTAGGACCCGTGGCAACGGAAAATCAAATGTTTGTTTGCTCGAAGCCGAGTTTTTTCCCGAAAGCCTGCACGCGTAGAAAGCCACGAGTTGAATGTACTGCGTGTGTTGCCTATGATGTTGAGAATTCCAGTAGGTTGTAAGTGTTCAATGAACTGAGTTGTGACAATAAAAGAACTATGAATTTCAACGACACCGATTCAACGTTTCATTTGGGCTTTCCATAGTTTGCATACTCCTCGGAGAGACCCAGTCTAACACCCTCTTTAGTGGCCTTGTCAAGATCCTCTTCAGGCAACCCAAGCACATCATTGGCCAAGCCGTACTTGTGCTCGACATCGCCATCATTCGAGGGAAAGAAGATGCGGGTGTACATCAACCTTGAAAAGCCAGTCCTATCCCCACCCTTCAGCGCCTCGTGACCAGCCTTCCACCGCTCCTGCGTGTTCTCATGTGTGATAGTCCAGTCGCTGTCCGATGTTCCCGTGACACGCTTGACGCTCTCGAACATATCTCGCTGGGACAGCAAAAAGCTGGAGATGTAGAACACCTCGTTAGCACGCTGTTGAATACAGGGAGACTTGTCGTCTTCGTTCTCAGGCAACAACTTGAGACTTAGAAAGGCCGCAAGGCCGCGGCCGCACTGGGACCATGTCGAGGTGTTGATCTTGATATTGCCATCGTCAAAGAGAATCAGAGACTTGTTCTTCATATCAAACCCGTACTGGTCAGACGAAAGACCCAAGCTGTACTCGTACCAGAAGCCTGGGGACATGATGATCCAATCACTGACGCCAAGCTCTTCAATGTCTTTCACCGCCCGCTCGAACGCGTGACCCAGAAGACTGTCTTTCATGAAAGAAGCGTTCTGCGGATCTGGGCACCAAGCATTCGGCATTACGTATGGAACACCGGCTTGAGCTGCGGCTCTGACGAGTTTGCTCTGAGTGTCCTGAGGAGCGCTGACGTTCATGGTAATGATGAGGTATTGTTGTCCCTTGAGTGCTTCGACGATAGAGTCTTCGTCATCGTAGTTCACCTTGGCTGCGATGACACCCTCGGGGAGTTTCGAATCGCTGTTGTAACGGGTGATGGCGGTTAGTATGTGCTTTCCGCCTTTGAGCAGCTCCTGAGTAACAAATTTGCCCATGGTACCAGTAGCCTGTGTAGGGATCAGTCCGACTGTCATGAAGTGATGAGTACTATGAAGAAGAACTTACGCCGACAATGGCAACCTTCTCAATGCGATTGATGAAGCCGTATGGCTGATCATTGGCGTATCTGGCGATTCTAGGAGCCATTGTGGTTGGGCTAATTTGGTTTGTGCGTCTACAACGAACTTGCTCAACTGATGAATGGGCAGGAGATTCTGATCATCACTGCGACGAGAGAAGATAACAGAAAAAAGCAAACTATTATTCAAATAAATGTGAAGTTCCATTTGTGGGCTTCGGGTTCAGTCAGGAAGGCCCATGGGGATCGAAAATTGTTAACTCCGAACACCTGGCTGTATCGGCAAGTCTGAAAGTGGTATCATTGCAATTGGAGATCCAGCCCGATCACCCGTAGGCACGTCCAGCGAAGCCGTAGATACGCGCTTTGGTTAGACTGAAAGTTCCTGTTGAGGAATGGCCTCCACTACGTACAAGTTTCCAGAGCGCTAGTCATCCTGCTTGTGAATTCCAGGTAATGTTTTCGACCGACAGCACGGTTTTGGTAACGCTGCCAGCCACCTGTATTGCAAGGTATTCGGACTTAGGCCCTCAAATGCAGAAAGCCGTAATACAGTACAGCTCTTGTTTTGTTCTGTCCCACACCTGCAGCACCCATCTCCGCGTGACCCTTCAATGCGGTGTCTTTTCTTCGGCATCCGTCAGTAAGATCGATTAACACCGGAACGCCGGAGGTGCTGCTTTCCTAAACAGGAAGCTTGCCACTCCTCCCATCCATTTCTCGGATTTCGCATCCGAGCGGCCCACGCTGCTGGGCAGGCCATATCGGGCATGCGAAATCTCCAGCGATGTGCCTAGCCCCGGAGATAAATATGTCTTTTCTATGCTCCGCCGACTAGTAGACCTTAGCACACAAGCTAACATTTTCGGTGCTACTTTTGTCCCCAAGTGGCCGGCCCGACGAGCACAGTTCCAATCGGCAAAGGACAATAGAATTGGCGAAGCCACTCGCCGGAAGGCACCCATATGGTTCTCCCAATCACTAGCAAAGGCAATCTCCCAATCACTAAGAAAGGCGAACATCACACTAATGTTCTGATTCAGGAGTAGTCTTCGGGTGTCGGGTACTGTTAGTTAATTAGTCTTGGACGCGAAAGCCCACCTTAAGGCCCGACAGGGCCAGCTTTCCCACTTCCCGCATCGCACGGACGTTAATGAATTTGGATGAGTATTGAGTTCTCTGTCTCGGATAAAGTTCAACGAAAGGTGAGGCTTCAAAAAGCTCAATACTCTTGCCACAAGTTACCCAAATTCATCCGAAGAACACTTGTTTTAGACTTAGGTGCATCAAACGTCTGGGTGCGAAGCAATCAAGCAACTGATACTTTCAATGCGCGCCATACAGGTATAGCAATTCTTTTGTACATTTCCACTGAGTACCGTGCTCTTATGAGTGGGAATAGATATTTACAATGAAGCAGACAATCATGTACAGAGAGAGAGCCTTCGGGCCCAAAATAAAGTCAAGATTACTCTGTGAGGTTGTCCTTCTCAATGGTGATCGAGTCAATTGTCCAGGTGATTCCGTTATCCTTGGTCTGCCATTCAGTGTGAGTTGCGTTGGTGTACGACACGATGTCACCAATGTTCTGAACGGCCTTGTTGAAGACCAAGGTGATGTTGTTGTATGCGTACGCATCAAGCGTACCGCAGCCATCACCGTAGCACTCGTTGCCGGAGTAGAACACGGCAGGCCTCATGCCCTTGGCTACGAAACGAGGTTAGGATGGTTTCCCGTATCTACTCGGCTTCGAGATATTTCACTTACAATCGGACTCCGAAGAGAGCAGCTTGCCCTTGGACCAGACCTTCTGGTCGATCATGTCGGTAGAGGAGTTAAGAGATACTGCAATCGAGTTAGCCGGTGCGTTCTGTGTATATCGATGCGCATGCAACTGACTCTCAAAGTTCAAGGTTGCGTTTTCGTCAACCTCAACGTACGGCTGGCCGATTTGCCCGTCGGGAGTGTAAGTACTGGCAGCGACACACCATTGGGTGTTAGGAGCGCTGCAGCCCCATGCGGTGTTGTCAGGACCCCAATTGAGCAAGGGTTGGACGAAGTTCATCTTCAAAACATCGCCGTTGTTCGGGTTGTCCTGGACACCAATCCACAGCGAGAGCCAGCGCTCATTCTCATTGCTCTTGACCCAGTCCTTCGGAGGAGCAGGAACCTCCATGGAATAGGTAGCCTTGGTGATGTACTGGCCGCCCGTCGTAGGGCCAAGGTAGAACATGTTGCCATACTCGTAGTTGGGGTAGATGTCGGCCTTGGCTCTCAGAGCCAGGGCGGCAGCAGCGGCAAGGACGGAATTGCGCATCTTGAAAAGTTTTGAGTTGAAAGTAAAACGAGCGACGAGAGATCCTGTCCCTGTGGTTGGTTGTAGTTGGTGGTTGAAAGAGTGTGTGAGGTCGGCCAAGGAGCTAGTGCAGATCGCCAAGTGCTCGAGATGCTTATATATGCTTCGAAGATTATGGGTGCATTTTAGTTGACACTGACCCCTGGCTGAAACAGCGCTTCGTAGAGGTGGACGAAGACACTCGTGGGCCGATCTAGCCCACGGAGAAATTAATCCAACCCACCCGGTTAGTGCGGCATCCAACCGAGCAGCTGGATGCAACAGAAAGATGAAGAACGGCGCCAGTCAATTTCTTTTCAAGCGTTAAAAATGGGACGAACGCGTCAATCCTGGTATTGGAATGGGTCAGAAAAATGATACCAACTAACAGATTCAATCACATCAGTCCATCTTCGCCTAGAGCCGGTGTACGACAAAGCGGTTGAGAAAAATGGTTCCCCCTAGCCCGGCAACGATGATAATTGGAATACGAGTATTGAAGAATACTCAATTGAGACTGGAAGCACGACTGCCCGAGCAAAAACTTTCTGCAGCACTATTCACGATGTGGCCCCTAAACCACGGTAAGTGTAGTCATGGCGTTCAGGGCATGATGACTATCTCGCCCGGTTCTCTTTTCTCTTCCGCGGCATCCCACGCTTGTTCCCAATCTTCCAGCCGAAACTTATGAACTGGCCCCATGCCGGCCTTTCTTCCAAGGGGGAGAACTCCGGTTTCTACCATTTTGATGAGCCTTTCGGTCTGCTCCGGAGTGCACATCCACGTTCCCTTGATAGTAAGTCCACGGCCTAGAATGTCCATGTAGCCAAAGTTAATACCGGAGAAAACGCTGCCCTCCAAGTTGACTTTAGCGCCGTGTCTGAGAACGTTCATGCAACTGGTGAAATGAGAAGAAGTGGCTGCGCCAGATGGAGACATGTCCCAAAAAGCGTCAGCTGACCCCCGACAAGCCTTGCGGAGCATTTGGGTGTCTTGCTCGACGATATTGGTGAGTTTGACAGTGGAGACGCGAGCGTTGATGGACGCAAGTTGCTCAAGAACTGGCCCATTGCGCCCGATGGCAATGACGTGTGCGCCCATAGCGAGGGCGAGGTGGACAGCTGCACTACCATACCTCCCTGTCGCCGGGGCGACAATGACAGTATCTCCAGACTTGACATCGATGTCCGCAAGACCGCCGAATGGGACGAGCATACTGAAGAGATGCGTCAAGTCTTCCATTGTGTAACCAAGCCCATCTTGATTAATACTGCCCAACAGCCTCTCTTCGTTTAAGGGGCGGCAACTCTCCAGAGGAACCTTCGCGTAGTCGGCATACGTAGAGTTGCGCCACTCTCCTCGGGACAGCTTTCGACTGCCCTCGTCAAATCCTTCCATCATTCCGGAGATCCATATTCCACCACGGTCCCGGCCCTGTATGTATGGATCAAAGAAGACCAATTGCCCGTGTTTCAGTCTCGTTGCGTCGGGTCCAATGTCGATAATTCTGCCAATGGACGCAAATCCAGGGGTGAAGGGAAATGGCAGAGGATGCCCGCTGCTCGGGTTTCGATACACATTTGGAGAGTTGGCTCTAACAGAGACAGCAATGACTTTTATGACTGCATCTCCTGTGTTTGCAGCTGGCTTCTCGCGTATTTCAAAAATTGGGTCCTGTCCTGCCCCTGGAAGAATAACAGCTCGATTTTCAATGGTGTTTGCTGAAGACATGTTGAATATAGAAGTCGAATGATATGTACAACAGATGATAAAGGAACTATAGCAACTGCTTCCCGTTTTATAGTATGGTCTATTGACTTCGTAAGTTCGTACTCGTAACCGCACTGTTGGCGGAGTTTTAAGCGGAATCTATGTTTGGCGCAAGTCCTATGCGAACTTTTCTACGGCCTTAGTGACTTTAGCTCATTGCGGAAATCTAGAAAGCGCGTGTCTTGATTCCGGTACAGGCTTGCCAAGTCTTGAATGACCCGCTTTAGAAAGGAAACAAGACCGCGAATCAGCTAGGTAAGCGGAGTTTGTTGTGGTTGCGGACTTGTAATTAGTAATTCACAAACTCCGCAACTCTGTTTCCACAAAGTTGTACTCAAGGATTCATCTTTATCGGTCCTTGTGTTAAACGCAAAGTGCTCGCCAAAGCGTCTAGAAAATTGTTACTCTCGTGCATGTGGTGGTTTTAATACATAATTTACTTCTTTGTGTCCCGAGCGGGATTATTCAGAATTCGTCACTTAATTCAGCAAGATACTTCTGGTGTTATAAGCATGATGAAGCAGGTTGAACCCCCGACAATACCTGGGAAACCAGACTTAATCTGCTTACGCGACGATCGTAGTCTTCAAACATGATATTCATAACGACAATAGATACTGCCTGCCTTTCTAGCTGTTTTATTTCCCATTTCATTTTCCTTTCTTTTGGCTGAGCAGTAATCGAAGAGGTTGGGTGCGGATCATACAAAGACTTTCGATGGACTTTTCCTATGTATACTACTTAGGGCAAGAAAGGTCCAAGAAGCCACAAGAAATTAATCTGTTTGAGGTTGCTACATTTTGTGTCATGATTGTCGTACGCAGTACGGAAACGTAGCGCCAGCGGAACGAGATTCTGAAAACAGCCTAGCATCTATACACGGCCTCCAAAACACCTCAGTGATGCATTTTGTGAATAATTCTTTTGTGAATACTTATATAACTAAAGGGAATATAAGGACCCTTTTTTTCCTCTACCCTAACCTAGGCTAGTCTCTTTAACTACTATATCCTTAGATAAGAGTAATAATAGCGATTAGTTCTTAGAACTATTTACTATACTTCTTATTAAATATCCTATTAATCTCCTTTATATTATTCTTATTTTTTAAGTTCTTAGTAATCTTTTTAAATCTCTATTTAATTTAATAGAGAACTTAGTTCTAAAGGTCTTCTAAGAACTTAATATATATTATAAAGAAGTATAAAGATACTATATTATTATTCTTAGTTATAAGGATATAACTAAACTATTATTAAATATATAGTAAATTAGTTTTTTTTAGATATTTAATATTATTAATAATAAGGACTATATTAATTAAGTAGGGGGTATATATAAGATTTATCTTAGAGGACTTTAAATTTAAGCTATAGTATAATAGGGGGCTACTTCTACTTAGCTAGGTAGCTTAAAAATCCCTTTTATATACCCTATAGGTTAGTTATAGAGGTTATACTATAGCCCTCTATATATTTCCCTGTTAGAGTTATATAGCAGTTAATAAGGTGCGCCTCTAGGCGGCAAACTACGAAGAAGAAAAGTTAGAAGGGAAGAAAGATTCACCTCAGTGATGTTCGATGATTAGGATAAGTCAGCAAATATTACCTCCACTGCGAACAACCCGCTTGGGCACACCGCTCCCCGTCACAACGTGCCCGAGTTTTCAACGCAAGCATGGCAGAGGCCGCTGATGCAGTCAACGTTCTGTCTAAATTCTTATCCGACGAAAGAATTGACGGAGTCTCGGGGGTCAATCGGTTCTTCGAGTCGCTGCCAACCTCCCAGCCAGCCGCGCCACCTACCGACGCCATAGTCTTCTGTGCCTCGTCCGTGCTCGCCTTGGCCGATGTCGTTTTCTCAGCATTCAATGGAGGAGAACCATCTGATAACTCTGAACTTGACCAAAAGATTGATCTGTGAGTGTGAATAATTGTTCAGTGAGATTGGGCGTCCACAAGAAAAAGAGACTGACCCATGCCTCCAGAGACGGAAGACGCACAGTCCTGGTGCTTTGCGGCGGCATCGGTCACTCTACCCCGTTCTTGTATGACGCAGTTGCCAGACATCCAATCTACAACGTAATCGCAGACGAAGTCCAGGGGAAACCAGAAGCACGCGTCTTGCAGCTGATTGCCGAGCGATGGTTTGGGATTCAAGCCCTCGAAGCTGGTCCAGAGGCTGCCATGGTGCTCACCAATGACCGAGATAAGTTTGTTGTCGTAGTTGAAGATCGTTCCAAAAACTGCGGCGCAAACGCATCCGAGTCAAAAAAAGTTCTTGAGGCCTGCGGGATCACCTCACCGCGGTCGATCATAGTTGTACAGGATCCCACCATGTCAAAGAGGACCGTTGCAACCTTTGAGAAGACGTATGCCATCAACTCTAAATCTACACCTCACATCACCAGCTGGCCAACATTCACGCCAAAGGTTCACGTAAAATCTGGCGTGAATGAGGAGGGAAAACATGATCCACTAGCACTGCTCCAGTACTTCGTGCAACAAAGTCGTGGCATTACCTCAAATGGCCTATGGGACATGGGACGGTTTGTGGACTTACTGATGGGGGAGGTACCTCGTCTCAGAGATGATGCAAATGGTTATGGCCCCAATGGCAAAGGGTTTCTCGTACATGTGGATATTCCGGAGGAGGTCGAACGTGCTTGGAAACATCTTGACGACGCAATTGGGGCCACAGGACGAGATCGATAGATGCATGCACTGCGTGTAACATGACTGTAATTCCTACCTAGTACCCGATGGGAGTGCTTGAAGCTACTCTAGCGCAGAATCATAGCTTGTTCCAGGCACTGACTTGATATTCGTATTTCTAGGGGTTTGGGGCTTGGAAGGAGGTTTCCGACGCAGCGATGCCAGCATCACTGGAAACTATCTTCGTTTTCGTGAGTGCTGATGCTATGGCTTGTCAAGTACACCTGAGCCCATGAGCGACTGTACAAAGCCTGTGACTGATTTGATAGCCACTGCCGCAAGATTGCGAGCACCTTCATATGTCGGGTCGAATGATGCCACAGTCAAAGAGACAGGCTAAGTGACCATGGAGATCTCTCTGAAGCAGCCGACAATGTCCGGCTCCAACAGGCCACCAGGCGCTGCAAACCGATTTGCTTTTCCGATAGAGACGTCCAAAGAGTCGACATCGAAATGCATCATTACGGGACGAAGTTGCTTTCGTTGCAGTACTGTGCTGAGTCCTGTTTTGAAGTCGACTTTCTTCTCAGTATCGCCCTAAATCACGTCGAACCCGGCCTCTCCCACCCGTGCTCGCTCCAAGCGGTTCACATCTCTCATTCCCACGTGCACCAGACGCTCCAAGCTAATTGAGCGATGTCCGGGAACAGTCTCCAGCATTCCTTTCAAGCATTGTCCCGCTAGCATGGAAATGGGCATCGAGTCGAAATAGCCGCTCATGACAGTATCTGGCGTGTTGAAATAATCATGCGCATCGAACCACACGCACCCGAGTTCTGCGTCTCCAAAGTTTTGCGCTGCATGCAGCCTGGCGGCCACCCCTACAACAGAAGTGCAATTTCCCGCGAGAACGATGGGACATGCGTTCCGCTGCCGCTCTTTTGCGATAAGTTTTGCTGTGCGACGGACAATCTCGAAGCTGCGGCCAATTTCTCCTTCAAATTCGTCTACCGGCTCCACGTATATCTCGCGCAACGGTAGGTCAAGGTTGCGGAGGCTTTTGGATAAGCCACATGCCTTGAGAAAGGCAGGTCCTGCTCCAGTTCCTTGGTCGCGAAGGCTGACATGATAAGGGAAGATGATCAGCGATAGGCATCGAAGGGTTGCTTTGGCCATGTTGATCCTCCATATAATTCCAAACGACAACGAAAAGAGTGAAACGTGATCTCTGGAACGTGTGAACAAGAAGGCTGACGGTGCGAATCAACCCCCCAAACGCTTTCTAGTCGTCGTCCGAGAGAAGCCAAGTTGTGGGGTGCATCGGCTATACGCTAAGTGGAGAGCGGTGTCAAGCAAAGGGCGCGCGTCGCAGAGATGAGAAACACCGATACTGGCAAGTTTCTGCGGAGACCAGAGGGCGACGATTGAAAGCGGCGGGCTGAGATCCATGCTAAGATGGCCTATTGAAATATGTACCGGAGTGTGATGTCATTGAATCAGTTTTGTTGCTTCTTTAGGCTTTTAGTTAATTCAAGAAGTTACGCACCGGTGAAAGATCTAAAACCACCGCTCTCAAAGCGATTTACCTACCTACCGTCAGTATTGATGCGATTTCAGCTTCAGACATGCATCTCACATTTGAAAAACCGGGCATTGCTAAGGTCGGCAATTCTTATTGTGGTGCTAAGACAGGAGTTTTGCGGAAGGAGATACACTACCTAGGAAACGTCGCGCTCGAGGGACAAACTAGAGAGTCGAGGATGCATTGTTGGAACTGAGACATTTTCAACATGGATCCGTATGAAGACCATGGCCATAGCCATGAATATAGTTGGAAAAGGACCGAGGAATAACAAATGTGTTGGTATTTGACAACATATTTGATCGGTAATACCGGTAATTATTGCGTCGAGATTGGCCTCTTGGTTGATCCCACCTCCCATGACAAGTTTTATTTGTACATCTAAACGGTGCAAGTTCCTGGAAGAACATTTGTCTTCAAGAGACCCAGCTCATGTTTGCCACCCGCTGATGTATCTTCCATTGTAATATCAAATGTTGTACTCCATCCGCTTGCGTCAAGGGTGGCATTAGCACGAAAATATTGAAAACCACTTTTTTCCAAGCCTGGAACTGGAAGGAACGGCAGGCTTTCCACTTCCAACTTTGGGAGCAAGACACCTGGTCTAGAGACGCGATGGGCAAGGTGCAGAATAGGTTGGTTGTTTTCACCAGCTAACTCTTTGCGCAGAGCTATAACCAGAGACAAATCTCGAGTCGTACCGGTTCCTGTGATGCATGAATCTGTTTGTTGGTACAGAAAGTTGGAATCCACAGGATATCCACCAGTGTTTGAATTATCAAGAATGGATGTTGTACCGGTAGAAGTTGTCTTGAGCAGAATGTTGAAATTGCTGATTCCAGTGCTGGCGTTGATTGACCTGGAAAATTCAAACCAGGTGAACGTGTTGCCCCAGAAGCCATAAGACTGGCCACCCCTGCTGCGGGCGCGACTGGCCACAATCACGTCTGCGTCTGGGGACCCTTGGCGATCTAGGTAATTCAATGATACTTCCAGGTCATCACCGTTGATACCTGTTTCCGCATTATTGCGTACTCTGATGCGCCCTTCAAACAGCAAGCTGCCGTCCGATTGTAGCCGAGGAGGATCCACGTAAGGTTTAATGTCGACAATATCTAGTGGCTCTGTTAAGGTCACTGACGCGGGAACGGTATCGATCATGCGCTCAAAGATTCGGGTGCACTTTGACTTGAATGTGAGAGGATCCGAGAGAGAAGACATGGTAGCGTTGCCGTCGGAACCAAAGATGCGCTTGTCCGAGTTCATTGTGTCGTTCGCGCCGACCACCAGAGGGTTAGCTGTCTCGTTTTCAAGATACTCAGTCACAACTGCGTTGTCGAAGTTGGTCGGAGAAGCATCGAAATGAGCGATGTTCTCTTCGGAAGGCTCGCCGGCTACCATTTCTGGGAAGTCGACACTATGTATGTTGCCCAAGCTGTGACCGCATGCTACCATCGTAATCATGTCCTCTGTATACGTCTTGTTAGTGCGCACACTAAGATGGGCCTTTCCAAAATGCCGTGGTCTTACCATCGTTGAAACCCGCCCTTTTAAACGTTTGGCGCGTAGTTTCAAGGCCATCTTCCGGCTTGGGAACCCCGGCAGGTCCTGCTTCAGTTGCGTCGATACGACCGGCTCGGAAAGGAATCTTTGGCCCGTCACACGCTGCCGCTGCAGCCACAACGCTGAGAGCCAAAAGATCAGAGACTGAGGATCTAGGCGTGAGAAAATCCCACATTGCTGCAAACGTGTTGTTGAAGGCAGAGCCGGTGTTCTCAGGCCGCTCAAGCTCGAACATGAGGGATGCATCGAGCCCACCGGTGCCAGTTGCCACGTCGAACGTAGACATGTCATGGAATGCAGTACGTATCCACTCGGCCGAATTTTGGACCCCAGGCATACCTGAGCCATGGCTGCAAGGCGTGACCACTGCGATTTCTATTTGTCAGACTCTAAGATGAAATGAAATAGACGTTAAGTGAGTTGAAGATGAACACAAACAGTCAGAGAAGCCAAATCGGATGTAGCCAGAGTGCATGGCTAATATGTCCTCCAAATGGTCGTATTTGGAAGGCCAAACATATGACTCCGATGCTGAAGCCAAGAGGACCACCATTAGAAGACATGATCTCGACATGTTGAGGTCTTGTATAATCGAAAGCTTGAACAAACTTTATGGAGCAAAACAAAATCGTGTTTCTTGTTGAACGCGCCATCCAAACTTTTAAACCGCACCCAGTCCGTCAGCATCGCCAAGATCGCCAATGCAACCTGCCTTCTTCGTCATCAAAGATGACCGGTGGGATAAAGTACAATCACACGAGGGTCCACCGAATACGAGAGACCCTGGAAGCCACCTTCTTGATTATGCTTAATTTGTTGCCGAATCTGCAGGTCCACCCGTTCAACTGACCCTTTCCGACGAATAAAGACCACTGCTTTACTACAATGCCGTCTTCGTATCTGGAGTGCAACGTCGATACGAAATTGACGAATACGAAAGAAGACAGACACGGCCTGACAAGAAATGCATGTTTGAGCCCTTATCATCTGAGCCCATCATTTCGATTTAGCGACATCAAAAGAAGGCCAAAGCGTTTGGTGGGCTGGCAACCGCTCCAGGAACCTAGTGGGGACTGTTAAATAAAGAATCATTCAGACCCTCGAGAACGGACGAAGAAGACTTTACATTCATTGGTGAGCTCGACAGAAAGAATACATATCGATGCAGTGACGAGCAGAGGCGGGAGAGATCTTCCAAGTAGAACAACTCTCCTATCGGCATGCCCCATCCGGCAAGCAGCCATTCGTGCAGATGCCACTCCGTGTCCTTGCATGGCCAGACTTCAAGGGATCGTGTATCTCCACAGATGGCCGCGATTTGGTTGTTCCAAAGGAACTCGAGAAGTTCCATGGATGGCTTGACGCCTATGTTGTCAGGCTTACATGTTTTGTAGAGCTCATCGAGTTCCCACCGCCGGTCAAGTGTCATCGACTCATACTGGGCGAGGTACCCAAAGCGAAGAATTACAATATCTCCTGGTCGTAAGACGTCTTTTGCGAGACCCTGGGCGGTCATAGCCTCCATCAATTCGTTGAAAGGAACTTCATGAGATGAAAAAGCATCGACGTCAACCCCTTGCTTTTGCGCCCAAGCGTACCAGTCAATGAAGATAGCTCGGCCGGCAATGCCCTTCTGAGCAACGTCTGACCAAAATTTAATGTCTGTTAATGGCTGCGGCAAGCAATGGCAAACTCACGTTGTACGCCATTTGGGACGGGAGAGCCCGCAAAGTCAGCGGCGGTGCGTCCCATGTAGTAAAGCTAGATTGAGCGCGTCAATCATCAATTGATCTGATGTATGGATGGCACCTGTGAAGATGCGCAGAACTGACCCCTTCTTCTTGGTATGCGTAATGTCTAAAGCCGTCCCACTGGGAACTGCACTGGGAATTGAAACTCCACTGAAAGATGCCATCAGCTCGACCCACTGATAAAATACTCTGATTCGGGAAAACCGTTTGACACATACTTCGTCATCGTGGGCATGCTTAAGGGGTGCCTTGTTAATGCTGTGCAACTCGAGCAGCTTCCTGGAAAACTTGGGGTATGAGGCGCCAGTCATAGACCAGCTTCAAACCCACTCCAATTAGCAAATAACCAATCATGTTAATTCAAGCCTGTGACGTACTTCAGAGAAATTCTTTGGCCGGTAATGATGTTTTCCTTGGCTGCACTGGCAACAATGTCGTCCGTGAGTAGATTGAGAGTGCCTAGCTGATCGTCGGGGCCCCAACGACCCCACGCATTGCCGCGTGGTCCATTCTTATCAAGAGGAAGATCTTCAAACGGTGGGAAATTAATTGTCGTCATTTTTCAGGGGGCCGATGAAAGTTGTGCCAGAGAAACCGACAGGTGAAGAGGTTGCACTTGTAAGGCAGAGATGTGTTACACTCGGTGTTCTGGGACAACTCTGCAGGAGTTCAGCACAACGTCTCTCGCCCAACTCAATATAACACAGCAAAAAGCACCCAGCATCTACATATGAAGGAATACTTAGCCCCCGGTTGACGGCGTGCGTTTCTTCGTCATTGGTGTGTACCAGTTGCCTGTAGTCTGTAGAAGGTGGTCTTTGGTGGATCTGGACTCGCCCCGAAGCTTTTCAGCGTGACATCGGAGTCGCCCCGCCTTCGGAATGGCCCCGGCGGAATACCCGCCGAACACCTGCATCGAGCCTGCCGGGAATGGCCGAATCAAGTCTAGTAAGCGGGCTGGATGTTCAGATTCACAGACGAAGAAAGTATCGGCGCCCTCCACCGCTTGTCTGACACAGAATGCGGGGAAGATCAAAGAGGAAAGGATGAATAATCTTGGTACAAGCTGAGGGTCAGCAGAACCGAACGAGCAAAAGCAAGAGCAAGGATCCTGCCCGGCTCACCAACTCGTGACAAGGGATATCCAGTTTTACAAATGTGGCATGTCCCCCTCCCCTCGGAATCAAGCTCATCAAATTCTGATCCTCCATGCGACTTACGCCGCTTGATCTTTCCCATTTGAAAACATGGCAGAACAATCGGAAACCTGCAAGCGTGAAATGACCAAGATGGACGTCAAACATCTAGAGGCAGGTTCAAGCTCTGACCCATATGCAAGTCTACCGCCAGAGGATAGGGAACTTATGAGAACCTACGAGGGAAAGAAAGGCAGAAAAGTTGTCAAAAAGGTCAGTTGAGCTGGATTCACGACTCGCTGTTTGCCACATAAGTGCGCAAAGACTTTTGACTCATTCGTGTTACTAAGAAGGGTGCTACCTAGATTGATTATCGTTTGATTCCAATCATGGGTCTTCTATACCTTCTCTCTCATATTGACCGAGGAAACATCGGCAATGCGAAGATTGAGGGGATGGATGTCGATCTGGGGCTAACAGGCAATCAATACAATATCGCGAGCACCATCTTCTTCGTTCCTTACATCATCTTTGGTAGGCTGCATGCATTATTAAGCGATAAACCCAATACACATTCAAGCTGATTAATTTCCTTGACTAGAAATTCCTTCAAACATCATTCTGAAGAAGGTCCGTCCCAGCATGTGGCTATCCGCCCTCGTTATTTCATGGGGAACTGTGATGACTCTCATGGGAGTCGTGACAGATTTTCAAGGGATGGTAGTATGCCGGGTCTGTCTTGGTCTTTGCGAGGTGGGTTCGTCCCTTTCTAGACGCTATTTCGAGACGAGGCAGTGCTGATACAAGTTCATGGCCAATAGGCAGGTTTCTTCCCTGGCGCTGTATACATTGTGAGCACGTGGTATCCCCGACACGAGCTGCAACAGCGCCTCGCCATCTTCTATACTGCATCCGCATTTTCGGGTGCATTGAGCGGACTTCTCGCCTTTGCAATAGCCAGAATGGATGGTGTTCGCGGCATTGAGGGCTGGAGGTGGATATTCCTCCTTGAAGGTGCAGTGACTATTGCTGCAGGGTTTGGACACTCTTGTCGACTGGAAGATAGGACTTGGCATCCTTCTTGCTTGGGCTAACTCTGTACCGAACGCCGCTTTCAAATTCACAATGCCTCAAATTATTAAGCAGCTTGGCTTTTCTACGGAAAAAGCGCAGCTTTTGACGATTCCACCATATTTCTGCGGTGGCATATCGGCGTGGCTCACAGGCAAATTTTCGGACCGATTCTCTTGGCGGATGCCTTTCATCATTGGACCGATGACTATCTTAGCAGTGGCACTTGGAATCTTGTTTCACTTCTCTTCGGACGTGGCCAATAATGTTCCAGCTATGTATGTCAGTGTCATATTGGCACAGATCGGCATATATCCGCTTCTGCCTGGCATAACTGCCTGGATAGGAAATAACCTCGTTCTCTCGTGGAAACGGTCCATTGGCATAGCTTGGCTGCTTGCCGCTGGTAATTTAGGCAGTAAGTGGAAGTCTGCAATCACTCGCTGGACCTATCCTGCATGCGCTAATGAGGATAAGGCCTCATTGGAACCAATGTCTTCCTGGACAAGGAGGGCCCAAAGTATCCCACAGGATATGGCACTTCGCTCGGTATTATATGTCTAGGACTGATATCCGCTGTTCTTTTAGAATTTCTACTGTGGAGATTGAACAACAAGAAGTCCAAGTTGTCTCAGCATGAAGTCAGGGAGAGATTCTCTCAAGCGCAACTAGATGGAATGGGGGAAAAGAGTCCGCTATATCAATACACCTTGTAGAACTTCAAGACTTGATTTGTCTTGAGAGTTTTATTTCAATATACAGACTTCTCTACACACTTCCACGTTATTCGTCCACCCAGGAACGATTGATCGAATCCAGACCGGCAGCAAATTACCACACCCATAGGAAACCTCGGGGCAAAACTTTCCTAAACCTAATTCAACTTCGGAATGGAGCTTCAATAATAACTTGATTTCTAGGTGGGTTCCCCAAGGAAGAATCTGTGGCGGATGAAATGTCATTCTGGTTCATGAGTAGCGCGCTGTTCTTCCCCAGAATCAAAACCATGAAATGAGATGTCCTATCCATGATCTCAGCTCAGCTAAGGTATACTGGTACCGAACTTCATATGCACGAACCAATCAAAGATGTCAGCCACTGGAACTGGAAGAGGAGAGGGATGACGTTACGACGTATTTTGAAACAACAGGTCTTTATCTGGGGGACGTGTGTAGGTAGGCTTGGCATGGCGGTTGAAAACGAAGCATTGATGGTAATAACAATTTTACAGCCACAGGCAATTCTCAAGATGCAAACCTCCATCCATTAGATTCACCGGAGACTCTTTCCTGCTCATCCAACTCTTTGTTCTTCTTCCGACAGTACCACTTGGTAACGAGGACGAAGATTACTGTCAACCCACACCCAACAATGATTGCGCCGCCTCCCGTCTGATAATATGGCTCCTGGTTTCGAAGGAAGAAGTACGGAGTGAACCAGTGAGAGACAGACGAGACACAGTTAGCAATAGCGATCAAAGCGGCCCTCTTGGTCCGTGGTCGTGGTACAACAGTTGTTTCCCAAGATATTTGAAGCTGTCGTAGTCAGTAACAGACACTTCAACATGCGGGGAACAGTCCTGGACACTTACGTTAAGGCCGACGAATGGGCCAGTAACCAATAAGATCATGCAGAAGTATCTGGCCCCGACGTTCAACGTTGTGATCATCACGACGCATGCAACCAGTGTCAATAGGATTGGCACTATGATGTGGTAGCCATGCTCAAGCATTCTCCCAGATGACCAGGAAACTGCCAGAGTTACAAGAAAGGCAATAATAGGGGGCGGCGCTTGAATGAGATACGTAGTGGTGTCCCCAAACCCAAGAGTGGCGAGAATCTAGAGAACATGTAAGTAAACGTGCAAGCTGAGGTTGTATAAGTATGGATAGATATAACCGACCGATGGAAAGAAGTCTTTGTAAGACTGCGCAATGATGAGAAAAAAGTGGATGGCAGAGAAGAAGTACGTGAATGGGTCTCTGAGTGCCATCCACACCCCTCCCCAGTAATCTCCCTCGTCATCTTCAGCTCGACCGCCAGCCGACACAGTCTGTCTGTACTGAGCCATTTGTGACTCCTCAGCAGTGAGGAAATAGGTGCCAGTTGACTCGGGAAAGTTGGGGATAAACCAGAAGCTGACTAGACCAATCATGATACTGACAATGCCTGGACCAGTGTCAGAAAAGACAACATCACCATATGCACGACAACTGACCTTCAAGTAGCAGGAACCATTGCCATGCTGACATTCCAGCTATGTCGTCCATATTCTGGAGGATCCCGGCAGCTAGAAGGCCCGAAATAGCCTGCGAAATGGTGTTTCCTGCGTGCCAAATTCCCATGCGGAGGGGAGACTCGTGCTTCGTGTACCATGACGACGTCATGAGAGAAACAGCTGGGACAAACGGACCCTCTGTTAAGCCTACGACAAAGCGGCACAAGAGGAACCCCCAGCCGGTAGTGACAGCAGGCATACATAAGGTGGTGACAGACCACCCGAGCATACAGCATGGAAGCAAAATTCGCGGCTTGCCTTTCGCAATGATGACGTTTGCCGGAACCTGAGAGATGATGTATCCGACGTAAAAAAGCGAAATACCGGCGGACCACATGGTGTCGGACATGTGAAGATCATCTTGCATGCCGGCTAGTCGCGCGTTCGATACGTTGATCCGGTCCAAGTAACTTGACATGGTTAGCAATGACTATTCTGTCGACAAAATAGGCTTGAGATGGAGCAGACCCGGGGTTCGAAACTCACTTCATCATGAGCATGGCACAGACCATGGGCAAGAATTTCCAATCAAGACGTTTGCGAACGGCTTTGTCGAGTGTTTTGAGTTCTTCAGGGGTCTTATTCCTGATGAGGTCGTACCGCTCCAGTAGAGGGTCGCGGGCTGGGGCATTCTCCTCGCACTCGATCCCAACTTTGACATCGACTGAGCCGCGTGTCGAGTTACGAGAAAGCGTCATGTTTGCCGAGGGGTGTCTTGAGTTAAAGTAAAATGAACTGGGCACGAGGTGGGAAGTAGGAAGTAGGAAACGTTTAAAAGAGGCACCCTTTGAAACGGTCGACACCTTTTTGTACTTTGGGTTGTCATGACTGAGACGTTGAACGACCTGACCACGAGGTAACCACCAGCTCAACTCGAAAAAGCATGATGGCAATTTTGCAGCCACAAAGCTCCAGTTTCCCCGCACTGAGACCCCGTTTCCCCGCGGATCCAACGATCATGTATTTGTCGCGGGTTGTCTGGGGTCAGCTCCTGGCACTATCGGAAGGCCTCCGGAAGTCAGAGACTCTGGTCGGACTTGGTCCGCATTGGCAACCAATACCGTAAGTGGGTAAGCGCTCAAGGTGAATGTTACGCCAAGACTGCCGGTGGGGAACTACTCAATTCAATGGCCGAAAATTGACCCCCATGGCCTGATGTTTGCTCACCGACATCTGTGTTGATACACGCCAACCTGTTGAATCTGGTCTCCGCTATGTCACGCTGCCGCGCAGCATTTGTTGTCTTGGTCTAGGAGGAAGATACCTCACTACAACGTCTTCATATACTTGTTGCTGGCCAAAGAAAATCACTCCGGTTAAAGTTTACTGAAAGAGTCTGCTCGTTCATCAATCATCCTGGTGTCACGATGAGAAATCAACAAGCAGGAATATGTATTTAGGCTTCGGGTTTTCACTGAGAGAGAGACCAAATTCTGGAGTTCAGAGAAGCGAGGGAAAGTCTATTGTGGGAGTTTGGTGTATGTTGGATAGATTTTCCGCCTGGGCATCTCGGTGGATTGGACAATGAAGGCTCAACTGGCGGAAAGAGAAACTTGGGAGAGCTGGCCCTTTTCCCAACTCACACAGGTTTCAGCTGACCCATACTTATCGGCAACGTGGGTGACACAAACTCTCATCTGCAGCCAGGGTGTACACAACCTGAGGGGGCATCAGTACAGGGCGATTCCCCTGACTAAGAGAATGTGCATCGAATGAGTTGTTGGGATCGACGTGGAATAACATGCGGGAAGTTCACCCAAGAGTTAATCTTCAGACTTGTTAGCGGACGAATCATTGGCATGGGATTGAAGAGGGCTAGCTGTCTCACACTGGGTATCGCATTGTGACTATCCATCATACGCGTGGAAAGACCCAGCAAGACCCTCTGAAAAGCTGCAAGTGCAGGGAATCTTGATGCCGCAATCGTTACAAGAGTCGAGGACTTGTTGATTATTTCTGTCACTTCAGCGAGTCGACGCCCTGCAGAACTCTCCCGGCCAATACGCCAGTTGAGACACGCGAAAGTAACGGCAGCTTGAAAGACGTCGTATGCATCAATGAAGCTGCAAATGAAGGCGCCTTGGGTAAATAGGTCGTAACATCGGTTGACAAATTGCCGAGATGTATTGATAGTGTCCATATCAAGATCTTGAGTACTGCCAAGCAATGGACCAATACTCTCATGTGTTGGAGGCGTTGACGAGGTGAGATGGACCAAAGCGCGACAAGCCAATTGGTTGAAAAGGTCCGAAAGCTGCTGAGTAGACGAAGAATGACGATCTCCGTTGGGAGGTAGGTCTCTCCAATGGATAATGTTGCTATAAGTGAGCAGAACATCGTCCTTTCTTCCTGCTCGGATGCTCGAGATTAATTGTGAATACAGTATGAGGTAACGACTGATTGGCAATCTCTTAGACGATAAATCCGCCGATCTGGGCACATCACCATCTTCCTTTGGGAGCTGTGTTGTTTTTGTCAACTTCAGAACGGCTAGCGTTGTATTTTGCTCTTTAGGTGCTCTACTCACCCGCAATGAGATGTCGTCATCTTGAATACTCACGGGGCGGTCCATCACAAGACTAATCATCCTAGAGCTAAACTTAGTCCCATAACACACACAAAGTGAATCACAAGCAAAACACTATACCGGTCGAAGTAGTAAACAGTCCAAAATAGCCATCGCCGTCTGGTGGCCTCTGATATCGTTAAGTTGGAGTGGGCATCTGGCTCTCGGTGAAGGCCAAGGGAGATGCACGTTTTCATTGCCAGACCCAGAAGATGCCAGGCGGAACCACCAGAGGAGTTGAACAAAGAGTAGATAAGAAGCATTATCATGCAGTGTATGTGCTCGAGAGCCATCTCCGAACGCAGGATGGAGGGTAGCTCCTTGATTGCCGTAGAATGAAGGCCTGCACTAAGTGATGAGAGATGAGTCGAATTTGGAGACAGCAGAATTCCAATGGCGCAGGCCATGTGAACATTGAAATTATGCAATGATTCGGAGTTCTGTGCAGGCTGAGGTTGCGCTCTGCCAGCCGTAATACTCTCACATTGCCGGAGAAATATGTCCTCGTCAAGATAGGGCAACAGAGCGGACAACTCAAGAAACTTCCGAACATGTTCAAGCGTTGAAACCTGGGTCACGGAAGCGAGGTGGTTACTGATACCAGGAGATTGGGGTGCTGGAATAGCTGTGGATGGGTCGCGCCCATCGATAGCCAGCGCCCCTGAGATCACTTCGGCTAAGGAGAACTTTCTGGGTAGATCGTCCGAATTATCTCGAGGTTCGGCCATAGCGCTGCGTGATAAGAAGCCGATTGCCCCCATAGTGGCCCTCACAGATGAATCGTCGTTCTCGTGTCCATTGCTACCGGCAAGATGCATGGCCTGACTCGACACGACCGATGTAGCATCCCGAGATCTTCCGCCATTGTCATGACCAGGAGACTGGTCCAGAATTGAATCAGCTCGACAACTGTATGTGCGCGAGCGTTTTCTAGAAAAAGATTCTTCTTCAAGATCAGCAACCCGCCTCTTCAATGACGCTACGTAGCTGAGGTCCGTTAGCAAACATTTCAGTAGACAGGGAAGCAGAATGTGATACCCAACAACAGAAGTATGCGAGAGCTCGGATATGGTGTTGAAATCTTGATTTCGTGGGATACAATCTACCCCTAGCACGCTACATGAGTTGCATGCCGGCAGACGGCGATCACACTGATAATTGTCAGCTAATGCTAGCTTTGAGGGGTAAAGTGCAGTCACTGGGGTCATATACCTTTTGCTTTCTCTTCCAGCATCTCTCGCAAGCTTGTGGGCGGGTTTGGGCGGTCGTTGGAGGCGGCTCGAGGGATTCCCTCGAGTTCGAAACTTCCCGCGCACCTGTAGATGAAGCGCAACTCATGGCCCGGCCGTCTATCTCCTAATACCAGGTACTGATACAGAAGAAGGGGATGCCAACCAATTCTGGATGACGCAAGCAGTGTAGGTGGTCCGTCGACAGAACATCGGCCCTGGCATCAACTGTGATGGGGAGTACATAGGACCTCGCACCTCCGAATGTTTGCCGATGTCTCTTTTCCCCACATAACAGGGATAGCCTTATTACGTAATTAGTTTCAATACTCGCGGGGATTGACGCCAAGCCTCCATGGGGAAGCTGTAGAGGACCTGATTGGTCATATCTACATCCCACGGAGTTGCGGAGTCACAAGAGGGAAAAAAGAACAAAATGCAATCTTATCATAAAAAATCGTGTATGAAATTGAGATATCGAAGATCGCATGCCTGCAGTTCAACTCCTTGAATGATGATTGAGACATCTACTGTGGCGGAATCTAGAACCGCTAACATATCATCATGCTATGCATTATGGCACCCTGGAATGACATCCATGATTACTGACAAATTCATGACTTGCCATTCGTAGCTAAAGTTGCCCTAGCGCTCAGACTAGCCATCTCAGCAGCTCTCTTCGTGGCACCGGCGATGAGCAACGGGCCATCCGTCGCAGCCATTACCCAGCGGGCTCCCATTTGACAGAACTTCTCGACCAAATCCATTCGTGAGTGAAGACCTCCGACTCCAACCCACTTTCCGTGCTTGTTACAAGCCGCAATTGTTCGCTTATAGGCCTCTGTGAGTCTAGGGTTTTCGTAGTCGCCCGGGATACCCATCTCAGCCGTCAGATCGTTGGTGCCAATGAGCAGAGAGTCTACGCCTTCTACCCCTGCGATCTCATCAACCAACTCTAGTGCTTCAAGAGTCTCAATCATTGGAATGACCAAAGTTGCATCATTTGTGACCGGGTTGGAGACCTTGGCGGGAATCGTGCGGAATTGGTAATGAGGAAGTCCGTTGGTTGACGATCGCGTGCCGATTGGCTGGAACTTGGCAGCAGCAACAACGTCGCGTGCATCCTGAACACTGCGAATGTGCGGCACAATGACACCAAGTGCGCCACCATCCAAAATTCTAGAGACGAAGAAAGGATCTTTGCTCGGAGCGCGTACGATGGGCGAGATGCCAGCATACAGCGCGGCGATGCATAGCTGGGAGGTCGTCTCGAGGTCGAATGAGGAATGCTCCATGTCGATGAGAATTCCGTCAAATCCGGCGGTCTTGGCCATCATAGGAAGCTCTACCGACTTGACTAGCTTGACGCTAAGAGTTGATGCCACCTCATTACGGAGGAGTTTCTCTTTGAGCGAATGGGGGATTGAAACGGCCATTTCAAAAGAGGAAATCTTGATTGAGGAAATCTTGAATATTGATGATTATGCTGATAGATGCTCTGTGGACAAACATGTTCAACGGCGTGTGATTGAGGTATTGTTGTTATATGACTTTTTATTTGCTGGTCGCGCCGTGATGCCCGGACTTGTGCCGAGAGATTCTACAACACTTTCGGCACCTCCGCACATTGTTCGGCCTTCCGAAACCGTGTTCAAATGACACATGACCGAAACGATTCACAAGGAGGGTTTTCGGTGGCATTCCGTCGTCAGAGTGAGACTAGGCAGAGGTAGACAGGAGCGCCGGAGGCCGTCCGATAATATCGGGGCCCTTCCGGGTGGGCCAGGTATCAAAGGCGACCAGGCCACCTTCGCACCAGCTGTGTCACCGTTGATTTCCACAGCGCCAATTTCACGAAACGAGCCAAAAGTCCCCAGGTTTAAAGTCAACTTCATCGACCGCGACACGAAGGCCAGAATCGATCCAGCACCAAACCCCGGATTTATCTCCAATCAGCGGTCGCTGGGCTATCTCACCTATTCCCTCTCGCAAATCATTTCTCAACATGGCCCCGGGAATATTATCTGATCCAACCGCAGGCGTGCTTTCCGGCTCCAAGCCGACAGTTTACGTGTTGGATTCGTTCCAACCCGAGGTCATCAGCTTTTGTAAAAAACATTTCAACGCAATTCTACCTGGACAACCTGAACATGCAAAGTGGAGGGAAAATGTTCGGTTTCTTCTCATGCGGTCCTCACGCCTCACGGCCGAAGACATCGCTGCTTGCCCACATCTTCTTGCCATCGGAAAGCAAGGTGTCGGAATTGACAAGATCGATGCCGATGCTTGTTCTGCGCGTGGCATTAAAATCTTCAACACCCCCGGTGTCAACGCGCGTGCGGTGGCTGAAATGGTTTTGGCTTTGACGACAGCCGTGGCAAGACAAGTGGGAAGCATCGCAGGAAAGCAAAATGCTGGCATTCTTGTGCCCAAGGAGACGTGCTCAGGGATTATCCTGCATCGGAAGACGATCGGCATACTTGGCATGGGCAACATCGGAAGGGCTGTTGCTCAAATCTTTCGCGGAGCGTTCGAGGCGGACATTGTGGCTTACGACCCCTATTTGCCTCTTGAAGTCTGGGATGAAATCCCTCATTCCCGCGCCGAGTCAGTATCGGATGTTTTATCAGCTTCCGACGTTGTGACGGTTCACATGCCGTTGACACCCGCCACCAGACATCTTCTTGGTTACGAACAGTTCAAAATCATGAAGAACACCGCCATAGTTATCAACACAGCTCGGGGAGGTATCATTAACGAATCTGAACTAGAATGTGCCCTTTCGGAAGGACTCATCTGGGGAGCTGGATTGGACTGTCATGAGGAAGAGCCTCCTAGCAAAGAGAAGTACGGTACTTTGTGGGACGTTGGTGCGCTCAGTACGCCGCACATTGGGGCAGCAACTAGAGAGACTCAAGTCCAAACAGGCATGGCAGCAGCCACAAAGTTGTTAGACTATGCCAGAAGTCGGGCGTAGAAAGAAATGCAAGGTGATTGAATTCGGGTTTTAGATCCTTTCATTAATGATGATCCTTTGTTTTCAACATCCATTATAATAGAAGGTGCGGGGTGACATGTCGTTCACGATACTGTGCCTGAATGGTATTCCTAGATGGTAGAGTCCGATGTTCTGTATCCACGTGAGACGTATCTGAAAACAAACAGGAAGGCAAGTCCAGAAGAAATAAACTTTCGGACGCTATTTTACGCCGTACTATTGGAAATCGAAAGCATCCAAAGCTCCAATGTGTCTATCTGGGTCTCCATATACATATTCTCCCAAGACAGACTCCATATTCCACAAAGTCTCATCATTCAGAAATGCCCAGTCAAAGAGATCGCTCCTTGGCGAGAAGTCATCTGAAACCTCTAGCGCCGCATAATTGTCTCTCACACTACTGAGTGATATTGCAGTGTCCCCTGGTACAACCCTCTCCACGGGGAACGAAAACGCGACGTTATTTGTAATGCTTCCTCGAAAGTTGTCTTCTTGAAGTGTTGCATCGAGATTGGCGCCCAAAATGTTGGATTGCGAGGAGCCCCGCGAGCCAAGAACTAAGTAGTCTGGGGCTCTCAGAGTATTTGATGGTCTATCCGATGATGATGGTCGGAAAATTGGGCTCACGTTGTCCGGCCCAGTGTTCTGAGATGCATTATCTGATTGTAACGTATCGAGAATCTTGTTTAGTTTCCGCGTGGTATCGCGCCGAAGAGCTTCAAAAACAGCAGCATATTGCCTTGCACTTGGTAGCTGCTCGGCCATGTCCCTCAATGTCTCTTCGCATTGAAACAGACCAGCTGAGGCATCTGAGATGTCTTCTTTCTCAAGCTTTGTTGCCGTTGAAACACAAAACAGTACAGATAGACCAGCCGTAAACATCATATGAAAATAGCTGCGAGTGTGTGTGATGAGTGGGCGCTGTTGACACAATGTTGAATAGGTCCAAATGGTTCGAAGTGCAGTCCTGAGGCACAAAATGCAGATATGACGAGGTGTCTTTCTGTCTCGTTTGGGCACGAGATCAATGGCTCGTCGGACAAGGTAAAGCTGCTCCCTGGCTAGTAATAGATCATACCAACTCTGCGACTCATAAAGACATTTCGGCTGTTGAAAGACCGGAGAATCGTCTCTCCAATGCTGTAGCTCCTGCATTAAGCGGCTCAGAGTTGTATATATGTATCCGGGAGCAAAATGGCTCTGCGAAGACTCGAAGTAGTTGCGCGCAAGCCTAGAGAACTCGGTGTGGATTCTGGATGAGATCTGTCGCAAGCGCACAGAGGTGAAGAAAACGGTCATCTCCGTCGTCACAAGCGTGACATGTGACAGCCGGAAAGCAACAAAATCTCTTGAAGATTGATTTGCAGTAACGATATCCTCGTCATTTGCATCTGCTGGAAAGCTGGTCTCAATGTCGCGGTCATCGATACTGAATGGTTTTCCGAGTAACGTAGAACTATATCTGTCGATCATGTAAAACTGCCAGAACACTCGTCGTTCCATTTGGGCCTGCATGAAGTTCGAAGAGGGATTTTCGTTAAGGTGCAAGCCTTGTTCAACGCATAGACGACCGCAAAGCCGAATGACGTCCCAGATTGACGTGCCTTCAAACAATGACGTGAGCACAGGGTGTAGGCGAAAATACGCATTGGAACCAGACGTACCTATACGATGGTATATACCGAATCGGCATATCAAGAGAAGGTCTTGGATGGAGGCCAAGCCTCGTGTAAGAAAGTCTGACCCCATGTGTTGCAAAGCGGCGAGGTAGTATCCTTCCGGGTGCTGGGTATGAGTACCGTTCTTGAATGGGAATACTGCGCCCACTGCGAGAATCATAAATGCGCGAAACAAATCGTGATTTGAGGCGGGTTGATCAGCCGGCACGAGTAGGAAGACCCGACCTGACAGAGACTTGACCTCGTCTCGACGAAGAAAAGGACTTTGCACGTGTGACCAACTCAGACTGCGTCATAGTGTCAGGAACAGCGGTTCAGTGGATTGCTTCAAATGACTGGCATACTATTTTTCGAACAGGAACTCGCCATCTTCATTAGTAGGAAGACCGCAAGGTTGAATCGCAGGCTCAGGGGCGCTTGGAACTCTTGCCAGCAGTTGAAGTAGTTCGATATTATTTCTTCTCAAATCTGGATCGGTGAAAATCGAAGCCATAAATCTCAAGCTTATTAGAAACCTTTTCAGAAAGAAATCATGATTAAGGTGTGGACTTACCCTAGTCCCTCGCCGTGTGAGATAGTAGAGTTCTCAATCGAGGTAACCGTCGGACCGGCCTCCGCGGTGGGCTGGTCCGTGGTATTGATTGTTGAGGCTTCATCGACATGAAAAGTATGTAACGTTTGAGACAATTCTTTGTCACGCTGCTCTAAACGATCAATCTCTCTATGAATAGCCGTCAGATGTCATGTAATCGCCGAAATAAGGAGGGCTCGAGGGGCGGGCCAACTCTTACGCTCGTGAGAGTGTTTCGTCACCACCAGAGTTAAGCACGATGCAGTCGTTACCCGTTTTTGAACAAGGGGTGCATGCTGGCCTTGTACTGTCACACTTGAAAGATTGACATTAGCTACCCGCCCTAGGTGAATTATGAACTCGCTTCTCCAGTACCTCTGGCTAGGTACCTTCTTGAAGTCTACGGAGTCATACTTTGATTTTCTTCTGATAACACAACTGACAGGCTGGAAGCCGGGGTAGTCGATCTGGGGTGGGGTTCATTTTGGTCATGACCTTCGATGAGAAGACCAATGCCACTTGTGATTCCCTCTTGTGTTAAGCCATCGATTGCGATGTGACTTTCGGACTGGCTCCGATGCGGCGTTTGGAGGTGGAGGAATCGGCTTGGTTCGGCTATTTTGACCAGAGACTTCTGCCCCGCTCAGCGCTATGGGTGGGGATCATCCCGCGCAGGTTCGTCTCCTGACAAACATGTCGCTGCTGCAAGATCGCCTTCTCCCGAGGCACCTACCGCGATTCTGATTGGACGCTGGAACTTTTTTTATTTTATTTTTTTACTTTATTTTTTATATCCGAAGACGAAGACGGTGCCTTTTCAGGGCCTGGATCCATATCATCGCGGCAATCGCTGTCGCCGGGCGTCCGCCGGGTTTCTGGCTGGCAGGCCCCGTCACGTCGGAGCTACTGTGCGCACAGTTGAAGGCCATAGGTACCAACCGAGAGAGTTACAGCACCGCGGAATGTGGCACAGCAGTGTTGTTCTTAAAATGAAGCTTGAATTGCAAAGTTACCCTAACATATCCTAGACTGCTTGCTCGGCATGTCTCAATCCTTAATCCAACAACCAGCAAACCCCCTCATTGTCTTTGTCGGCTCCTTGAACATTCCTTCTGTGACGTCCATCAAGTACTGGGAACAGTGCTCGGTGTGCCCCGGACTTGTAACAACGGTATCCATGGCGCGCCTTTCGTCGAAGAGCACGTAGAATTGACGCCTCCACATGATGGCGCAATGGTTGATGTGGTCGCGAATAGACGTCCAGTAAAAGTCTCGGTTTGACATTTCGTCAATAGTCAGGCGGTGCGTCATGTTTATATCAGAGAACGCGCCCCAGCTGTTGTCATCGCGATATTCGTCGACCGATTCTTTATCAAAGCAAGGTCCAGGGACCCAGTGGTTTAGCAGAATGTCATATTTGCACCCTTGAGCTTTTGCTTCTTCGGTCGAGTTGCCGCAATTTATGAGACGCCTGCCCGAAGTGACGTTGTGCCGTATGCCGGCGAGGTGATTCTCCAGTATCGTAGGGTGAGTCGACGCCGAGACTTGCGTCGAGCTTGTCGGTATTGGTGAAGGGACGATGAGAAAAACGACGAAACCCCACACTAAAGATGTCGCAATGAAGACCAGCACGTGGGATAGTACTGTCGTACGGCGCTTAACGGGATGCTGTGGAGGAGTGGTCTCCTCGGCCGCCGGGTCGTCCGAGTATTTCAGGAAGGGCTGATATTCGGGAGTTGAAGACATACTGGGTGCGAAGTTGCATGCAGCTCATGAGATGGTCTAAAGGTGTAATGAGTAACTGCAGAGGGCGCTTTCTGGGGGGAAACTCTATGATTTTATTCGGCCTGTTGTCATAATCGAGCTCTCTCTTTGCCTCTTATGCTACAGATGGCGATGGCTGTGCGCGCACGCGCATGTTACACATGCTGTTTTAAACCAAGGCTTTGCGCAAACATGCTCGCATCTCCAGGGACTCAGCTCCGTTTCATCCCAACATCTTGACCTGAAATTGAGTCTGATGTTTCAGCTAAAATGATGATCCAATTGGCTAACTTTAACTTTGTCTCTTCTATGCTTTTGCGATTGGCTCTTCGCCACATGGCTCAGGGATGCAGGCGACAATCATTCGAGGATGCTGGTGACAATCTTCAAGGATGTTGGCGGCAAATGATGTCTCCGTGGGTGTCTCGACCATATCGTATCTCATCGCTAACACTGCGCCGCGATGTTGGAGACTCAGTGCCGCGTGAGTAGTGAATTGTAAGCAACACGATGCAAGCAACACGATGCACATACATGCATTGCAACGTCGATGTGATATTTGCTCGAGAGAAAGCAAGATCTTCGCTTGGAGGTGAAGTTCTCTCATGCCCGGGCGCACTCTTGGCAGGCCTACTACCCCCTGAGTCTTGGCTGTGGTCTTGCGCCACGGCAATGCCAGTCGACCTTTTGCACATTTCCTTCCAGGCTGTCTGTGATAAAAATGGTCTTGTTCTCTGCCCCACCAAAGCAGCAGTTCGTCAAGTTGATACCACTCGTTCCACTGACTATGCGTGCTTTGGGAATGCCATTCGAATCTACGACGAAGATGGATCCTAGACTTGGATGACAGATGAAGAGGCTGCCCTCTTCGTCAATTGCTAGTCCATCTGGACCCGCGTTCCCGAATGACTGAAAAAACACACCAGCTTTGGTTGTTGTCCCATCAGAATGAAGAGGGAGACGCCAAACCTGGTTAGATCTTGTCATCGCGACGAACAAAAACTTTTCATCGGGCGAGAGAACGAGTCCATTTGGGGACACGCCGTTCTCAACAATTGTCTCCAGCTTTCCGCCAGCCAACAACCTGTATACTTTGCCAGTTGGGTCTGTCATGCCGGTTTGGCCTTGATCGGTGAAATAGATGCTTCCTTGAGAATCAACAATCAAGTCATTGGGGCCCTTGAATCGCTCGAGATGACGCCGGGTGATCAATGGTTTGATCTTCTGATTGGATGGGTCGAAGGAGAGGATTCCCTGAATACGATCAACTTGGTAAGGCTAAGATGTTGCGAATCGGCGGGGTGATTTCCGCGTACCTGCTTATAGTCTGCAATTACCAAGTAACCATCATGAGTTGCGGCAAGCCCATTGGGTTCACCGTCCCATCTCGCGACAACCGTAATGGCCTTCGCCGGGTCAATCCTAAGGATTCGGCCGTAGGGAACATCCACAATATAAAGGTTGCCAAGATAATCGACGACTGGTCCTTCGAGGAAAATATGTTGGAATTGTCGCGCAAAGCCACCGCGCCACTCGGTGTCTTTTCCAAGGCAACGGATATCGTCAGGAACTCGAACGTAGAGTTCGGCCTGAATGATCGGGGGCACGGGATAGAAGTTCATTGCGAGAAACGTATGTGAATATTCATGCAATGTTCTCCAACTGGCAGCAGACGTAATCAGAGGCTCGGAATCCGTCAAGGAGCTAATCCGAAGTCACAGCACGGTGATCGAAATTTCTTGGACAGGTTCTCTCATAAGATCCTCGCAGGTAAGTATGTGGGATCGGCAGGGACGGAAATCCTCCGGTAACTGGTGTCGTCGGACTGGACCCGGGCCTAACCTTCGGCGCAGTTCCGGGTCATATGCCCTAAATGGTGAGATGTCTAGGATTTCCGTGTAGTATCCCGACGTAGCAGCTCGCGGGGTCAGGGGAAGGTTGCGAAGTCATGACAGGGGTGGACAAAGATATCAAGAAGCAATTGTGCTTATCACTAATGTTAACAACCAAGCTCTGGTTTACCAATATTTATCACCGAGTGTGACCCATCAAGCTGCTCAAAATGTCCCTCATCAGCGCCACAACTGCTGCTGTACGAAACAGCCCCAGAGAGATATTCAATCGATACTTGTTTGTCTGCACCTGGATATGGAGCTTCTCAGGGGTCGCGAAAGGATTCGACGAAGGTAGGTATCGAAAATACACCAGTGTCACCTAATACATGCAGGCTAATGAGCCTCTCTTCATAGGCAATATCGCATCCCTGGTCACAATGTCCGTCTTCAATACTCGATTTGGGATAGGTGATCAATCTGAGAGCCAGTATTCAAACACAAAAGGTTGGATTGTTGCTATCGCAACGGCTGGTGCTGTCCTTGGTTGTTTGGCCTGCGTAAGCCTTACTGAGAAGTTAGGCCGTAGGCTAACAATGCAAATCTTCACGTTGATATACATTGCCGGAATCTTGGGACAAACATTCTCTAGTGGAAATATGGCTGGTCTATATGTCTCGAGAATTATCTCTGGAGTAGGAATAGGTGCTACGACGGTGCTGCCTCCCGTTTACATTTCCGAGGTAGGGACACAAGCTATCTCAAGGCACCTTATTTCAGAAACTGATAAATAGTGTAGATTGCCCCTCGGTCAATACGCGGTCTCCTGACTCTCCAATACACCTGCTGTCAGCAACTGGGAGTTGTATTCGGCTTCTTTTTTAACTACGGCATCACGAAACACTATTCAGGCTCCCAAATCCAATGGCAACTGCCAACCGCCCTCCAGATAGCGCCTGCCATAATATGGGGTTTAGGAACATTTTTCACGCCCGAGTCTTCCCGTTTTCTGCTGTCTCGTGGAAAATCAACAGAAGCCCTCAAGGTTCTCTGCGATTTTCGACAACTTCCTGCCGATCACCCCTATGTGCAAGACGAGTTCAGAGCAATGGAAGCCCAATTGAATCACGAATTGGAGATTGTATCAGGCGCTTCGATACTTGATCTAGCAAAGGAGACGTGGACCGACATTCCCAATAGACGACGATTCATATTGATGTTTCTGGCGCATTTATTTTCTCAATGGAGCGGAGCAAACGCCATGTGAGTATCGCGACCCCAAAAACGTACGCTAGTCCTAACCCATGACGAAATCCAGTACTCAATATAGCCCGTCCATTTTTGGATATTTAGGCATCCAAGGCGAGGAGAGTCGTCTCCTTGCTACTGGAGTCTATGCGATTCTCAAATTCGTCTCAGTTTTGGTCTTTTCAGTATTCGTCATCGATTTCATCGGCAGGAGGCGGTCCCTTCTTACTGGAATATGTCTCCAGATCACGACCCTTCTTTTTGTTGGCGTCTATCTCAAAGTGACCAACAGACGAGACCCAGCAGACATTTCTGCAGACCCAGCAGCCAGGCGAGCAAGCGAAGCTGCCATCGCGGCAATCTACTTACATGCCATCGCGTGGTCTATAGGATGGTTTTCCATCCCTTACCTCGTCAGTGCAGAAGTCTTTCCGATCCGTATCAGATCTCTGTGCGTATCTGTTCTCATGGCTTTTCACTGGGCATTTTACTTCGGCTGCTCGCGAGCCATGCCATCACTTTTGGCCGCTACCGAGCGCTATGGTGCCTTTATATTCTTTGCGGTCATCTGCTCTGTTTCCCTCGTCTACGTGTATCTTGCCATGCCGGAAACCTCTGGAAGATCGCTAGAATCCATGGAGAACCTGTTCAGGCGACCTTGGTACACCGTGCATAAGGTTGCGTACCCAAAGGCGGAGGATCTCGCAGCTAGACCGGTCATAATAGATAAGAACGGACAAAAGGAGGGGGAGAAGGCCAGCGTCACCCACATGCCTTAGCATGTGCTGCGGCGGCGTGGCCCCAGGTTTGCTATCTTGTCGACCTTCCCGAATTAGGAGCATGTTTCTGGACGAGTCTTGTAGAGGCGAACGCAGTTTCAGTACTGGTGGGTTTCAAAGCGGCGGAACGGTGACAGATTAAATGACTGCAAAGGGTTAGGACAAAGAGGTCAATTGGGAAACGTTTCACTGTCAAATTGTAGTCTGAAATCGGAACGCTTCCTTCTGACTAATGAAAGCTTGACTCTCGCTCTCCCTCAGCGCGAAGATACGTGGACGTTGATTGGCCCATCGTCGTCATATTTATACCGATCTTCCAGTTCCCAGTATTTCCTAAAACCTACACCCTCACAGACTTCATCAAAAGACAAAATCATAGGTGGTGCACCAACTGTCATGCTTCTCTTTAAGCTTTCAAGCGTCTCACGCACACTTTTCAACTTCGCAGCGACGAGGGTCCACGGATATGCTACGGCACAAAACCCGAGTTCAGCCAAATCCTTTGCTGACAAATTTTCGGTCTTTCCACCTTCAATTACTGCTTCGCATCAGAGATCTTGCACCTTGATATAGAGAGTGATTCACTTACTGTTTGCGAACGTAGGGAGTTGCAGTGTTTCAACGCACTTGCGCATAGCGTCTCGGTCGGGTAGGGCCTCGACAAAGACAGCATCGACTCCAATTCTCTTGAACTCTTTGGCTCGCGTCATTGCCTCATCCCATCCAACGACCAGAGCATCTGTTCGGGCAAGAACGAAAATATCTTTGCTTTGATCCCGGGCATCACATGCCGCCTGGATTCGAGCGTATGCCTCGCCTCGCGACACAACGGACTTGCCCTTTGTATGGCCGCAACCTATTCGTGTCAAAGTGAGAAGAGAGCCACAAGAAATGGTGAGCACATCGTACGCTTAGGCCAAGTCTGATCTTCGATCATCACACCAGCAGCCCCAGCCTCAGCGAAGCTCTCAACTGTTCGCCTGACGTTCAGCGGACTTCCATAGCCAGTATCACCATCAGCCATTACTGGCACAGAGACCTGGCGCACAGCCTCCCCAATCTTGTCGCACATTTCTGACATGGCAATGTAACCGGTATCGGGAAGCCCGTAGGCGCTGGCAACCGCATAACCAGCCAAGAAGACCATGGGAAAGCCTGCTTCTTCGACTAGGCGAGATGAGAGACCATCGTAAGTGCACGCATGGGCCAAAATCTTGTCGGAATTGTTGTGTGCTTCGAGCATCATTGTCCGCAAGCGAGAGGCCTGGATCGAGGGTATCTTCCCTCGAACATTCACAAGCGTCGTAGTCAGGTTCTCCGTCTGCCCTAGTTTTCCCTTCTTCTCTACGACCGGAGGGCTGAATTTGAAGGGGTAGGGGATGCTGTTGATGATTGATTTCGACATGATAAAGGAGATGCGGTGGAGTTGCTTTTCTTGCGTATGTCCTTGGATTGTGAATCGTTTGCTTTGTTAGAAGTCAAGGTCAGTCCATTTTCGAAAACCTGCGTGTCCATTTATAGCTGACATGGACGATACGTGAGGTTTTGAAATGTCGTTTGTATTCCTTGACTATCCGGAACACGAAACGGAAAGGAACGGACAAACTGGGGAAGCGTGTAACCAGGGTCGGTGTAGATCAATCAGAGAATCTGGGGTAAATGTTCCCCAAGCCTCCACTTGATAAGTCTATTCCCCGCATTTACTTGCGTAAAGTGAGGGAACTGCAGATCGAAGTTGCGATCGGAGAAGTGCGGATATCATGCACATATAAAACAGTGGCTTTCCTTATAGAATAAAACATATCCCCCTGGCCCATTATTCATTCGTCTTTTCACAGAATTTACCAGAGGCAATTTGTTTTGTGTACCTTGCATTACTTTACTAAGAACAGTTAGAATTTGGGCCTGACTGAAAGCAATGGCGCAAGCCGTATCTGAGGACAAAATATCAGTCAAGGCGAAGCAGGTAGAGGATGTATGTATGCCAACCGTTGAAGATTACGCAGCAATATCGGAGCAGACCAACATTCGAATTCGAAGATCAGTACGTTGACCCGTCACAACGCAGACTGAAGCAATCTGACTGGAGTTCTTAGTTTGACCGACATCTCCTTCCAATTGTGTGTTGCCTCTACATCCTCTCCTACCTTGACCGTGGCAACATTGGTAACGCAAAAGCCGCTGGAGCCAAGTCTGACTTACAACTTTCTGATTCGGAGTGGGCTTGGGTTCTAAACTCATTTTACATCGCCTACGTCATGTTTGAATGGACCAATCTCTTCTGGAAAATACTCCCTGCCAGCAAGTACGTGGCAGTGCTATGCATTCTGTGGGTTGCACTTCAACGTCTTTTCAATCGTTATGGAATATCGCTGATGGCTATGAGAACATTAGCTGGGGCACTGCAGCAATGTCCTCAGGTGCTGCGCATAATCTCGGGTCTCTGGCAGCCTCGCGTGCTTTTCTAGGCCTGTTTGAGGCAGCTTTCGGCGCCGGCGCCCCGTACTTTCTGTCCATGTTTTACAAACGGCACGAACTTGGATTCAGAGTATCTTTCCTGATTGGAATGTCGCCCCTGGCAAATTGCTTCGCGTCTGCGCTTGCCTTTGGAATCACACAGATTCGCGGGTCTCTGGAGCCTTGGCGATATCTATTTATTATCGGCAAGTTTCCATCCTAAAAACAATAATGCTCACCTAACGAAACTAGAGGGAGCGCCAACAATTGCCTTCGGTGCAGTCACTTGGTTTTATCTTGCCGACTCACCTGGTTTAGCGAATTTCTTGTCGGAAGCGGACAAAACCTTCGCTGTAGAGAGACTGCAACAACGAGACAACACAAAAAAGTCTGCCATCAGATGGGGCCAAATATTTTCAGGAATGACTGATTACCAAAACTACGTGCATACGCTGATTCACTTTTGCAACAACTACTCATTTGCCGCATTGTCAAATTTTCTCCCAACTATTGTCCGCGATATGGGCTATTCGTCCGTCACAGCGCAAGGTCTGACAGCTCCGCCGTATTTCGCAGCCTTTGTTTGTTGTGTCGCAGCAGCTTGGGCTAGCGACCGTTACGGCATGCGTGGATTTATCGTCACTGGTGGTAGCGTCATGGCTACTGCCGGATACCTCATTCTGGTCCTAATTCGAGATGAATCAAAAATTGCGGCACGATACGCAGGTGTATTTCTCGCCTCTTGTGGGATTTTCCCCGCCATGTGCATCAATATCACATGGTTGTTGAACAACCAGGGCGGTGACTCAAAGAAAGGCGCAGGCCTCGCAATCCTAGCAACACTTGGGCAATGTTCTTCATTCATGAGCAGCGTGGTCTTTCCGGCATCTGATGGGTCAGTAGCTCTTCCAAGGTTTGCGCATGAGTGTCACAAAACTGACCTGTTGGATAGCCCGTTCTACACCAAAGGAACAGCAATTGGTTGCGGGTTGGCGGGCGTTACCGGCATTGCGGCTATAGGGTTACACTTCGCTTTGGAATTTGAGAATCGCAAGAGGGATCTTGAATTCGGTCCAGTGGACGAAAACACTGTGATCGATGTGACAGAGGTTGGGGACAAGCATCACAACTTTCGTTACCTAACTTGAGAGCAACAATGGCCGCCTTCGAAGGTAGTTAGGAAGCTGTGTTAGCTGGTGCTGCAAGGGCTGTCTATCTAGCAGATCCGATGGCATTAGTGGAAGTTGCGTCATTCCCGATTAGCAGGTCCTTTTCAACAATCGAGCACTTGTCAATAAGCAATCCCCAAATACTCAAGATTTGATCGACAACGCCGAGCTGGCTTAAGGTGTAAATTGACACTCGAGCATGGATCTCGATGTGGATCTTCAGAGCAACCAGGCTGTGCGAGCCCCGCAAATGGCTAAAATAACCAATCATACCCTCTAAATTTGTGTTTCTAACCCCGGGAATGGCGCGGGCCATGACATACTATGCGTAGACTAAGGTAACTGAGTTGTCCACAGCGGGACATTTCTCCACTGCTCTCCGTGGCTTTCCAGCCATGCCACCGGAAAGTCACGGCTCGTCGAAACGTACGCAAACCCGCCATGATATTGCTGCAGTCAGTCTTGCCGTCACTTTCCATCCCCGGATTTCCGCTTTCATTGACATCACACCCGACAGACAAGATTCATCTCCATCATTGGCAGCTCATCACAGGCTATGGCATCCGTTCCTCCTCCCCAGAACGAAGGACCGATTCGAAACTTCCGCCGTACTTACAAGGCGTGCAAACTTTGTCGCAGGAAGAAGATCCGCTGCATCACTGACGGGCCTGGGAAATCTTGTTTGCGATGCAAAAGAGAACTAAGGGAATGCGTCTTTCCTGCGGAGAGGTCCCATCATTCCAGTCGGGCGAATGATGAAATCCGGATTCCATGTGAACTTGGATCGAGCACATCGAAAGGCGAAGGTACTGCTTGGCATTGTCAAACATCACGAGAACCACACTGATAATGTATGAAGAATTAACCCATTCCGCGCCCCTCAAAATGAAGAATGGCGGTTCGCAAGGTGCCTCAGAAGTGGTTAGTGAACCAACTGTGAATGGTGTCGCCAACGACAGCTGGCAAGTACCGGACGCCGATACATCGTCGGGAGAGTCGGAGAATTCCGAGTCCATGTTTGAAGTTCTTCGACCTGGCGGAGTTGGACTTGACAATGATAGCGAGCAAAGAGAAGACGGTGTTACTGGAGACTTGAACGGAACACTGATGAGAACGCTTGTCTCCAATGGGAACGATGCGCTGAAGTTACTGTTTCAAGCTGCTCTCGAAAATAAGCACGGAAACTCACCAGCCGAACTTTCCACTATCAATACAGCCCCTCAGACTGTGATCGATCTTTCCACTCCGAAAAAGGCACCCTCTGTAGCAGCAAAGGCTAGCGAACTTCCGGTGCCCTCTTCCAAGACGCTCAAAATGTGGAATGCATTCCGTTTTACGAAAATGGGATGGTTTTCATCTGAAGAAGCGGTTACTTACATGGACCTGTAAGGCCCCCATGACATAATTTGGCAGCACGAACTGATCATGGTGAAGATTCTTCAAACATTTAGCGCCACTGTCATTAGTCTCGAGGAACTTCAACCCGAGCCATGACGCGCACTATAACCTGATTACCCAGGAGCCACTTCTTTGCTGCGTGATACTCTTGATTTCTTCAAGATACCACGTGCTTCCAGGGACAGGTGGAATTGCAAGAAGCACTTTAATCCACCAAAGACTGTGGGAGCATTGCCAACACCTCATTCTGAGAATAATATTTGGCCAGGAGAAACGATCAAAGGCCAAGACTCGTACAATAGGCTCCATTCAGGCATTGCTTCTGATGGTAGAGTGGCACTCGCGAGCTATATACTTTCCACCAGGTGCTGATGGATGGGACTCGTCGATGCTGCTAACTGAAGACGACCCAAGAGACACTGAACACAGTAACCGAGCGGACAAAACGGACGAGATCAATGTGAAATGGTTTCAAGATATCGTTGCTCCCGCCAAAACATCAGACCGCATGTCCTGGATGCTTCTTGGCTGCGCGCAGTCCCTATCTCTCGAGTTAGGGCTTTTCAACATGAGCGGGCCAGAACACGCTACTACAACCCCCACAGACTCTAGGCTACACCCGGAGTCTCTCTACCAACTGCTTTACATTTTGGTAGAACAACACTCAAACCGACTCGGCTGCGCCTCGATGATACCGGCGGAGTTTACCCCAGTGCTCTCTCAACAATATCGTCTTGGCGATGATTCCAGTATTTTGTCGTCTTGGCTAGATTTGACAAACCTCTCGCGAACAGTGAATGACGTCTTGTTTCCATCACCAATGGCAACAAGAGAACTACTCAGGAATGGTCGCTATACGACGATCGTGCGTCGTTTCAGGCATCAACTCCGTACCTGGAGGTACACATATATAGAACCAGCTAGTAAGTTCGCTGTGCCACTCCTCATTTCAACCCTGCCTGGCCTGACTATTTGCAACTCAGATCTTCCAGCACACTATCAAGAAGAGCTTTTGATTGAGTACAACTACACACGCATCTTCATGAATTCTCTGGGGATCCAAGGAGTCATCGACCGCGCATTAGGCGACGTAAGGCCGGCATCAGCACAGGCAAACGCTGCCATTTTTAATATGCCTGTTAATGCTGTCGAATCCGAGTTCATTAAAGAAGTCATTGATGGCTCATGCGAAACCCTTACCTCTATGAATAGGCTTTATGAAGCTGGAACGTTACGGTTTTGCCCTGTGCGCATATTCTTGCGCGCTATCACTGCTTCAATACTTTTATTGAAGGCACTTAGCTTGGGGACAAGGATAACAGAACTGCAGGCATCACTAGCTGTTTTGGAAACAAGCATAAATGTTTTGAAGGCTGGTACGTTGGACGACATGCATATTGCCTCGAGGTATGGATCGCTTCTAGAGGCATACGTCACGAGGTTTCGTCAAGGAATGGGCCCCCCTACCAATCCGAGAGACTTGTCATCATTTCCATCATTTGTAGAGTGGAACGATGGCGAGGTCGGAGCTCTCAGCGGTGCAACAACCAACGATCTTTGCTTCCCACCAGGGGACTGGCTTTCTCTGCCACTGGACAGGAGCCTAGCTCCCTTCGGACCATGGGGAAGCTCCTCTGATATCCTTGACCCAGAAGATCACGCTTGGGATATTCTTTGGAGCCTGCCGAGCGTTCCTTAGGTTCTTTTTTCTCCGTTCTTCTTATATTCGACATCGAGTGACCGTAATACATCTCTGAGCCATTTCGTACGTGCCTGCGCAGACTTACGTGCAATTTGGCAACCGTAAAGTCTCTTGTCGCGCAGATTCCATATGCTTTTTTATCTGCAATACCACACGATATCTCAGATAAAGTTCAGATGAAAAGTATCATTGCCGTCAAAGTCGCACATAGTCCAAGTCCCAAGGGGCTCAATTTGCCCGCCCCAAAACACCGCAGTGCATCGTGTGGCGCTAGGTGACGGATGAACTATGCGGTACCAGGAAAATTATTCGCAGAGAAAATTTCGATCCCGAAACCCATATATGCTCCATTTCGGACAATCGCACATACAGAACCGGCTAACATTCATTGTCGCGACCTTGAATGGAGTACCTTTTGTCAAGAATCACTCCTGCCTCATTGCTGTGTTTGATTGACGTAAGTACAATTTTCGAGCAAAGACCGGACGATGAGTACTACGGATATGGCTTCATTTCCTTCGAGGCCTTCGGAATCGGAGTCGTTTCCCCCGACGACTACCGAACGACCACAAGCATACGCTTAATTGCATGTCAAAGACGAAAGATCAAGTGTAACAGAGATCTTCCATGAAACAGTTGCATCAAAGTACGAGTACCAATCGGAACAACTCGCCTCAGAATAAGGATATGCATTAACTAAAAATTGCAGTCGTCCACTCCATTTGTCCCAGGGACGCCAGCTCCTGCTCGAAGAAGGAGACCGTACAACCAAGCTCTCAAATCCCACTTAGCACAATGTGAAGAGCTTTTGAACAATTCAAATGATCTTGGTAATGATTCCGCGAGGGAACACGGCACGCCCCAAAGTGCACACTTTCACACTCCGACGGAGTCATCGCATGTATCAAAATGGACTACGGATGGAAAGCTGGCAGAGAATCCAAATGGAAATGTCACGTTCATGGATAATTACCTCTTAGGTATGGTGAATGATGAGGTAAGAAGGTCTCAGTTGACATCAAGGTGCGTGGTTACTGAACGCGATGAAATAGCTGCGAGCGATGCATGAGTTGATAAACTTGGAAGAAAAAGAGCACAACAACGCCCTGGATTCCAAGCTCTCGATGTCAAAATCTGATCTCATTCTTGATGAAGAAGACGGGCACAAGCACAGCACACGCTTGGCCAAGTCCAGCCGTTGCGTTCAAGCTTTGGCAGACCTTTCTTGACCGTCTGAATCCATTCACAAAGGTGATTCATATGCCAAGTCTTCAGCCTTTCGTCGTCGAGGCCACCAACGGCCCTCATTGTCTTTCGTCCAACATCATGTCGCTCATGCTTTCCATCTTCCTCATGGCAGTAAATTCAATGACCGAGGACGAATGCGACAACTCTTTGGGAATACCTAAAGAATCAGCCACAGTGACCTTTTCTGCAGCCACACAGCAAGCTCTTCGACGTCTGGACTTCATATAAACAGACGGTTGAGTAGTGTTGCAGGCGCTTTGCCTATACATGGTATGCTCCGTCCTACACTTAGATTACGTTCGTTGACGAGTGGAGCAGTACTCTTTGCAGGCGGAAGACGATCGCCATAGCTCATGGGTTCTAAGTGGCACTGTCATTCGGATCGCTTAGAAAATGGGTCTCCATCGAGACGGGCGCGCTCTTGGTCCTGAGCCGTTTGAAACCGAGATGCGGCGAAGAATATGGTGGCAACTTGTGTCTAAATTTGCGCTTTTCTCTGGCTTTGGGCATTCCTTGCTTCCGCGAGATTGGGATGTTCAAGAGCCAAGCAACTTGAATGATGCTGACATTTTCCCGACAGCAACTCTACCAACTTTGGATCGCGATGGCCCATCAGAAATGGTGATTTGCTTGATCAGAAATAAGTTGACGAAATTTCTCGTGGATACGCCTGGCCTAGAGCCTGTCAAAATGGCCGCAGAACTCAACAGTCTGGCTGTCCATCCCCCTCTTTTCGTCAATTTGAGGGATCAGCAAATGAGCTACTATCTTGCCCAGTTTGATCTTCTGGAAGAAGGCTTGGATCATAATTTGGAGTATCGATGTAATACACACGCAGGGCAAGCTTATGTTTTAGCTCAAGCTTTAGAAGCAGGACTTGTTGTGCAGAAAGGCCAGTTGATGAGGGGGCTTAACAACAGGTCCAGGCCAGACGCTGACAGGGCGTTCGTCAGGAGGAGAGTGCATTCCTAGGGGCTGCCGCATTACTGGAGCTTATAGCATCTCTATATAAGCATTAACAGGGCAACGGGTTTATTTGGTTCGCGGATTCTAACTTTCAGTACGATATCCTGCTTTACATGGTTTAACTTCTCGCGCACAGAGTTGATCACCATATAGGAGACCGAGCATGGGAAAACATCGCAACTATTTACCAAATCAGGGCGGGACTTTTGGGGGTCTCCGAAAGATCTTGTTTAGTTCTCAGGCGGGCTATGCTGAAGGCTTGGGCGAAAAGACGAGACCTGTCCAGTCGCGCGGGAAAACTGTCAGCTGACACGTGATCCCTGCGAATCACCCTCGTCCTTGAGAAGATTTGTTTCTAGCTGATTGATCGATCAGAAAGCGCCCTATTTAGACCTCTAAGCTGAACCTTGGTTTCCACAAATAGCTACCTCTTTACTGTCTTGCTTATCGGGGCGTCGTCTCATTCGGGAAGTTCAATTTGAACCCGTGGCCCCGGCTCGGTGTCTTGGAATTCATTGTCCGCTCCACTTCTCCATTCGGACGACAGAACAAGTCCTCTTGTCTCAACGCGCCTTGAACCACTGAAAACTTCTGCACACCTCACGGCCTTCAAACGTATAATTACAGATTCCCCGAACGTCACATAGGTTACTCAAAAGAGAGACCAGCATGCAACAAAATCTTATTTCAGGAGCATGATGCCCTTAGACACAAACAATGTTGGAGGGAGTGTTTGGCAAACTCTCACAAGCTCCCTCCATCACAAAGTGTTTGAGTTGTTTGGAAAAGAAATGGTCATTTTCATCATCTTTTTGGTATGTTCTTAGTGACAAATGTCGCCATGGTAGTCGCTCGTTGCAATCTTCTGTAATGCAGCTTATAGGACCGGGCATGTTACATGTAACATACACCGCGCTTTTCCACCCACTTTCCCATTTCCCGGTGCCTAAATACTCTGCTTGCTCCGACATACCATTCATTGCAATACAGACAAGTTGAGACATGGTTCCGTGGCTCGTCTCTCTGCACGAGAGATATGGGAGCGTGATTCGCGTAGGAGCTACCAGGCTGAGCCTTATCGATGGCCAGGCGTGGAAAGCTATATACTCCCATAAGACGAGCGGCAAGAGGAGCTTTCCAAAAGAAAGACTTGTGTACGGACCGGATCCGAATGGGCACCGAAATCTATTGACAACGATACCCGACGCCGAGCACAGTCAGCTTCCAAAAGTATTCTCGCCTGCATTTTCTAAAAGACGCCTTAAGCCCGCTCATATCGAAGTTTGTCGACCAGCTGATTGAGAATGTCCTAAGAGACATCAAAACGAACCCAGAAGCGACGTTCGATATGGTCAAGTTGTACAACCTCACAACATTCGACATCATGGCCGAGCTAGCCTTCGGCGAGCCACTTGGACTTTTAGCTAGCTCGAGCTATTCGGAATGGGTTGGTAACATCTTTGGAAATCTTAAGGCCAATGCATTTGCCCAGGTTGGACGCGAATGACCAAGGCTCGGTAATTTGATTCAACTGGTTACACCTCAATACCTCAAGAAAGCCTCGGAACTGCACTTCGCACACGCCATTGAACGTGTGAATCGCCGCATCAACACAACAACGGAAGAGACAGATATTTGGAACTTGGTTTTGAGACAACCTGACAGCAGACAGATCACCAAAGGCGGCGTGTATACAAACTCGTCTTTGTTCATGGTAGCAGGATCTGAGACTACAGCTACTATTCTAAGCGGCGTCACGTATTTACTTCTCAAGAACCCAAATAAGCTGGCTCGTCTAGTCACAGAGATTCGGCAGGTTGAGTCGGAAAAAGATTTGACCATTCGGAGGCTTTCCAAAATGACCTATCTCACAGCCGTACTTAACGAGGCACTAAAGTGGTATCCTCCTGTACCGGTCGGGGTTTAGCGGGAGGTTCCCGAAGGCGGTAGCGTCGTTGCTGGACATTGGGTCCCGGCGAGTGTGAGCAGAACACAACCTTGCTTCCGAATTTTCTCACGCTGATTAAAATTTGCAGACCCGTGTATCTGTGCCTCAATTTGCCGCCAATCACTCCTTGCGTAAATTCAAAGACCACGGTGCTTTTGTGCCGGAGAGATGGCTGCCTGGATCAGAGTTTGAGCCAAACACCAAAGATGTTGTCCAGCCCTTTTGTCTTGGACCCCGAAACTGCATCGAAATGAAGTAAGTACTTTTCTTTTAACAAGCCATGTGCAAGTCCTGTTGATTAATCAAAGTACTGAGACATGATAGTCTGGCTTGGTACGAAATGCGGTACATCTTGGCGAAGACATTGTGGCATTATGATCTATCCCTTTGCGCCGAAAGCATGAATTGAACGAAGCAGAAGAGGTACATTCTCTGGGAGAAGTTGCCTCTCATGGTTCTGATGGAGCCTACTCAATAGAGAGCTGTTCTACTGGTGTTGAATCAAACATATGAAGTTGCACGCAGCCTGTCGGAATTTTCAAAGGTCACGTATGCCGACGCTGTTGCCTTCATCACGCTGTAGTCGTCAAGCAGGTTCCACTTCTCGCGCAAAGCTACACAGTCTACTAGGTAGTCGAATATGACAAACGAAATGACAACTTTACGTTCCCTCTCCAGACATTCCTGGAATTTGACTCTGCTAAATGAATTGCCGTCGAGTATACTGACGGTATCGCCACGTAAGCACCACGAGCCGGTCAAAAACATGGCACATGCAGATTGGGCTTAACCGGGATTTCAATCAGCCTGACCGACGTTAGAGAATTTTCACAGGGTTCAATCAACCTAGGACGGGCTCGAGCAAAGGATGTGATGCAAAGTGGATTGTTACCAGCACAGGTGACGAGATTCAAATCTTATACCAAAACTTTCGAAAAGCCCCAGGCATTATAACATTCACTTGATTCAAGGTAATGTATGGATTCGGTTCATCCGAACACCGAATATTAATTTATGAATTCCGCGTTCCCAAAATCATTGGCTTCTATTCAACGCGCGTGTTCATCAAGACCTAAGCTGAGTCAGACTCAGACTTGTTGCCGTTAGCAACCTCCTTGTGTGTAGCCTCGCCCTTGGCGTCTGTGCGGAACTGCACCTCCTCTTCTCTCAGCTGAGCCATCAACGTCTCGTTCGCCTTCCATACAGGCTTGATCTCAAAGAGGCGGTCAACCTTCTCAAGTGGAACGCCACTGGTCTCTGGGATGAGGAAAAAGGCGAAGAAAAATGCCAAGAATGAAAGCGAGGCGAAGAAGAAGTACACGCCATAGCCCATGGCCGCGAACATCTGCTCCGTGAACCTCGATACCAGAAAGTTGAACAGCCAATTGCTTGCTGTGGTCGCGCCGCCTGCCAAAGACCGAAAGTTAGGGTCAAAGAATTCCTGTGTACCATATTAGCGATTGATGAGGAACTCTGGAAGGGTTGACTCACCGAGTTGATGACCCACGGAGTGCCATTCCATGTCGGGGTATAGACTGCAGTCCAGAGGTAGAAGAAGACGATAGCGGCATAGCCACTGCCAGTCAAATGATCCTGGGGGTTCTTCGTCGGCTCCACGACGCAGACATACGCGCCGATGACCCACATGCAGATGGAGCCGGTGATGGCACCAATCAGCAGAAGCTTGCGTCTTCCAAGCTGATCGACCAGGAACAACAGCCAGACGAAGGTCATGACAGCCTTGATGACACCGAAAATGCCGGTCATCAAGTTCACGGTATTCGAATCAATGCCAATACTCTGGAAAACGACAATGGTCAGCAACAATGCAACCTCCAGGAAATAGCCAAGAGACCAGCCTTACCGAAAAGATGGTGGGAGAATAGTAGTTGATCGCATTGATTCCGGACCCGTTCTGCCAGAAGAAGAGCATACAACCCAAAAACAGTCTCCACTGAAGGTTAGGGCGTTGACCAAGTGCCTGGAAAGGCTGCCAGAAGCCAAGTCCCACAGTGGACTTCTGAAGCTCATAGATTTTGTCAATAGCAGCAATTTCCTCCTGGATGTAAATGTCGTTCGGTTCCAATTGACGAATCCAGCAGAGGTTGTCCATCGCCTGCTTGCGATAGTCCTTGAGGAAGAGCCATCTTGGGGACTCGCGGATCCAGCAAGAGCCAATCAACAGCAAGCCGGATGGAATAAGCTGAACGGCAAAAGGTATCATCCATTGAGTTCGACCAGGAGGGACGTGGGCTTCGACACCGAACTACGCCATGTGTTAGGGAGGCGTTTTTTCACACAAAGTTCTGTGTCGTTACTTACATTGATCCAAAACCCAACAAGACCACCAATCTGCCAGCCAAGTTCGTAAAGACCAACGAGGCGACCACGGATAGCAGGAGGCGACAATTCGGAGATGTAAATAGGGATGATGTTCTGCGAGTTTGATCGTCAACGACTGGACATCCATACTGAGCAGTATCTGAGGCGGACTTACCGACGCGACGCCAGTTCCAAGGCCAGAAAAAACGCGTCCGGCGTACAAGATTCCCAAGCCGGTATTACCAGTAGCACCGCAGGTAAGTCCAGCACCCAGCGAAAACGTGGTGGCGCCAATCGCCAAGCACCACTTGCGACCGATAAAGTAGCTCAGACAGTATGTGAGGAGGGCTCCAAAGAAAGCACCCGCAACGAACAAAGAAACGATGTTCTCGCTGATAAGATTTCTTGCCGCGCTGGAAATATCGTTGAGTCCGAACTCGTCCTTGAAAGAGTCGAGAGCTACCGTTGTTCCGATGAATGCGCTGGTGTATCCGATCATGCAAGATCCACAGGACGCGATGATGGCGAGCACATAGATGCGCCAGTTGTAAACCGACGGCGGCGTTGGCCGCTCTTCAACAACGGTGAGGATACCCATAGCAGCGACACAAAAGCTCAATGGGATGACAGCGACGGAAATGGGCGATGGTCGAGAAATGGGCTTCTCGAGGATGAGGAGGAAAGGAAAGTGTGAACAGGTCGAGGCTCCGGTCATCACTAAGTATTTTCTCTCAGGTGGAGCAACCCCATAGCTCGAATCTTCATTGCCCCATAGTCTGGAGCAACCACTTCGGGGTTTGCGGAGTGGAGGACTGGGGAGCATGAGGCATATTGTTGACAATGCAGCAAGACAGATTGAGCAGATCAGATTCTGGAGGAGGCCGCAGTCTGCAAGACAATTGCAATCCATGAAAGATGGTCGTCGTCATATCCGTCACTCTGCATTCAGGGCGTCCCCTTGAAAAAGATGAGGCTCCACCGAGCCTCACATGGGGCGGCTACCCTGGCCGGGGATGCGTTTTTCCCCGTGGAGCATCCGCTTCATGATTGTCCCCATGGAGAGAGACAAACTTGCAGCCCGGGGCAGCGAATAAGAATCAGTATATATCTCACACGTACATCCCCTCTGCTCCGGTCCAGGCATTGACGTTTGGAGATTGACAGATTGCCATTAGTTGATGGATTCACGCACCCTTCGGCCATCTACCGACAGATGGAGATCCATAATGGCCCGTGCTGCAGTGGCTCCGATCCCGGCCAGCCGAAGGCGAGGCGAGAGGATGATAATTATTAACCCGCCCGCCACCCAAGTCGTCCGAAAGAGCCGCCGTTCGTCAATGCGGCAGCGGAGTCCCAGCTTGGGAACGGCAATAGACTCTTCCGACTCGTTGGGGTGATAAAGCACCAATCTTGCGCCTGGCCAGTGCTTATCTGCGAGCTTGCCCCCGTGCTCTGTCGGTGGAAATACGCTCGCCCGTTCGTTTCATTCTTGCCTTGATTCGCTGCACAATTGCTTGTACTTTTCTTGTTCACGCCAAGAAGATCGTCGCTCCAGCGACTTCTGGATATACGATGTTCCCAACAACTTGGCTCAAATCCCTCAAGAAGGGTTGCAGTCTTCACGGGTTGCGCGGGCAGGATGACTCGGAGGCGAAGCTCACCCGACTGGCCGGCAATCGTTGGGATCGAAAGGCCTTCTTCCCACATGTCTCTACCTTCAATTGCCGAACTGGCTGCGTTTTCGGACATCTCATGCGATATTCTACTTGCTTAGCTGAAATAGCTTGAAGCAGTCTTGGGTTAGCCACTGTTCTGAAATGTCCGCGCATCTCACGCGGAATTTTCTTGCAATTGAGGCTCCTTCAATCAAAACGCTCAAGTTTTGCAATTTGCGAAGGTTTTCTTGGCCTTCGGAAAGCCGTAGGGCTTCCAATGATGTTGCAAGCATCTTCTAGGGCGATCCTGAATGCGGAAGGTGCTTTTATCTCAAATTGGTCCCGCCGATTTGCCAAGACCATTAGAGTGCATGAGCCGGATCCTCCCGCTTCTTGTCCCGTGAACTAGCCAAGCCCTCCGACGACGTCCTCTTTTCAAGCCGCATGCAAGTCAGCAGTCCAAAGTCCAAACGTCAGGCAGAGGTGCACTTCTTCAGTGAGGATATCGCAACGATACCCGTCTCATGGCACAATTTGAAAACCACGCCCAGCCGGTCTGGACCTAGACGCATTCGGAAAGCCTATTAAGCCACATCTGCCACTAATCATTGAGATTTGGGCTAAACATATAGTGAAAGTTGCGTCTCCGGCTGCAGCGAATGGCTCATGTCGTGCAAGCGGCAGCAGTAATAAACCCAGTCGTTTCAGTCACCATTTTGCAGATATGGACAAATCTGATTGTTTCAATGTCGGCAACAATGCCTTTTCTGAAGCAGTGTGAACAACATGCCACCTACTACAGCAAATAATGCAGGTCTATTAAGTCTCGTTAACACGGATAAGAATACAAATGTGTTTGTGCTGAAAAGGCTGATGATGCCAAAGTTGCTGCCTCTCACATGATAATGTCCAGTGAATGTCCTACTCACCAAAGACATGGTTAAGGTGTTTTGAAGCAAATAGCGGACTCATCCTCTCATGTGAGATTCTAGTCTTTGCGGC